CTATGCACCGCTCCACCGCATTTCTGTAGCGCTGCTCACTGACACTTGCTGGGTTCAGGTATGGGGTCATTGTTGCTCGGGCTGAGTTGGAAACTTAACATAGTCGTTAAAGCGCTGACATAATGATTATTGTTCTACACACAGTAGATTTACGCACTTGAATTGAATCACCAACCAGGTTTCCAAATGATCCTGTAGCAAAATATCTTAGTGCCAGACGCACTTGTAGGGAAGGACTGAGGGCACCGTTTCTGTCCGTGCTGCAAGCCAACTGCCAGCAGGACGGTAATCCTCAGTGTCTCCGTGCGTGGAAAATGAAAGCCTGAGTACAAATCAGAGGTCCAAGGGGTGTAATCTATCACGGGCCAGCCTGGTCGCTAGCCTGGTCGCTAGCCTGGTCGTTAGCCTGGTCGTTAGCCTGGTCGCTAGCCTGGTCGCTAGCCTGGTCGTTAGCCTGGTCGCTAGCCTGGTCTTTAGCCTGGTCGTTAGCCTGGTCGTTAGCCTGGTCGTTAGCCTGGTCGTTAGCCTGGTCGTTAGCCTGGTCGTTAGCCTGGTCGTTAGCCTGGTCGCTAGCCTGGTCGCTAGCCTGGTCTTTAGCCTGGTCGCTAGCCTGGTCGCTAACCTGGTCGTTAGACTGGTCGCTAGCCTGGTCTTTAGCCTGGTCTTTAGCCTGGTCTTTAGCTTGGTCGCTAGCCTGGTCGTTCCTCAGTGTCTCCGTGCGTGGAAAACGAAAGCCTGAGTACAAATCAGAGGTCCAATGGGTTTAATCTATCACGGGCCAGCCTGGTCGCTAGCCTGGTCGTTAGCCTGGTCGTTAGCCTGGTCGTTAGCATGGTCGTTAGCATGGTCGTTAGACTGGTCTTTAGCCTGGTCGCTAGCCTGGTCGCTAGCCTGGTCTTTAGCCTGGTCGTTCCTCAGTGTCTCCGTGTCTCCGTGCGTGGAAAACGAAAGCCTGAGTACAAATCAGAGGTCCAAGGGGTGTAAGACTGGTCTTTAGCCTGGTCGTTAGCCTGGTCATTAGCCTGGTCGTTAGCCTGGTCGTTAGCCTGGTCGTTAGACTGTCGATATCAAAGCACATATTGGAACAGTTACGTCTTTAGAAACATCAAAATCACGGTTAAGTAGGCTATTCATTTTTTTTTTCTGTCATCGATGTGAGGACAGAGAGTTGGACAGAGAGTTGGACAGAGAGTTGGACAGAGAGTTGGACATCGTAAATTTATCCTCAGCACGGAATCAAATCTATAATCTACACTGTCCTTCTTTATAACTCAGTGACTCTGTGAACATTAAGGCAGAACACTGACTGTGAGCTGCAGTTTAAACTGATCTGTATAAAACTGATCAGAGAACAGTTACCTTTCATCTTGTGGTCGCACAGACTGAACATTCCTCTCAGTTATCAGCTGGATATGATGTGAATATGTCTGAGTGAGGACGACTGTGGTGCAGCTGAAGCAAATAAATGTAGTTTAATCTGCTGATAGTCTGAATGCGTTTTGACAGCATTTCATAAAATACGAAATGAGCCAGATTTTATTAAAGGAACAAAGACACAGTCAGTTTGAACCTGGACACATTTTCCACTGCAATAAAACCATTAATAGGCCTGCTGAGTCGGACTGTCACTTTCCAATCACAGGTCCACGAGGAGCCTAAACTGTGTCTGATCTGTTCCATTAATCTTTTCATCTTCAGTTATTGCCTCCGTCAGGTTCCAGCTGAACAAACAGGCCTGTAGCCTGTATTTAAAATGAATAACAGGCTGCAGGAGAATCTGCTCTTTATCATTCATTAAGGAAACTCCAGTCTGCTGAATGATGAATAAGTGAATAAAATGTAATATTGGTAACGTATCGATCCTCCACTCCTGCGTTTTGGAGCCAATCATGTTGTGCGTTGGCAGCGTTCATATTTGTAGCTCCACCCCATTAAAATGGAGGCTCTGCCTTTATTTACCCGTTGCCATGGTGAATCGTATCAGAGCTCCATTGATGAGGCTTTGTTTCACCCCCCCCACGCGTTTTAATCAGGCTCAACATACTCAGAGTTGACTGAACTGATTCTGATCGGAGTAAAACCCGGAGTTTGGCAGCTCAGAGTTCAGGGTTACACTGAAACGGGGCCCTGGAGCCGGTGGAGCGCAGCCAGAACAGCTGTGTTGGACTAGCTGTAGCCACGAGAGAGCAAAGCTTATTACAGTCCAGACGGGTGAGATCATGAATCACCTGCTGCTCAGAAAGATGTTTGTTTAGTAGGGTAGTTAGCGGTACGGCGGCCCCCTAAGCTCATCAGCTGACTCCTAGATGTAAATGCTCTGTATGGCTCCACTCTAGTGGATCAGGTGGAACAGCCACCAGGGGCCGTTCAGGGTTCAGTATCTTGACCAAGGACACTTCGACATGCAGCCTGAAGGAGCCGGGATTGAACCTTCCGAGTAACGGGCAACCCGCTCTACCTCCTGAGCCACAGCCGCCCCTCGTATAAAGATTTTCAACTGGCCAATTTTAAAATACAAAAAGTGAAAATATTTATTGCAGTTGTTCAAACATTAAGACTGCTGTGTTAAAAATGAAATGCTTTCTTAATTAATTAAGTTCTTTAAAGGTTTTAGAAACCATGTATTTGATTTCTTTTGGGTTTTTGTAAATAAAGATCTCATATTTTTGTCTATAATGTCTCAGTCCCTTTCTTTACTCATCATTTTTTCTCTAAATCGCATAACTGATAAAAATGTTTTAAAAATATCATTCACTCAACAGACTGTATCAGTAATTAACAGATTTTATTTTTGATTTAAAATAGTTTTTGCCATCATTGGTCGCTCCAGATGATATGAACACCGCATATCATTAAAGATATAGATTTAAAGAGATCAACAAACTAAATATTCTGTACAAAAAAAGATATTTTAACCAGATGTAATTAAAAGAAAGTCCTGGGTCTGACACGGCCAACAGAGGGCGCTAAAGACGTAAACATGGGTCGTAATAAGCACGTTGCTTCATTTAGTTTTCATTTGTAATTTTCTGTAAGATGCAACACTTGCCGCCTGTGGCATCTGATTAAACAGTAATAATAATAATTAAAAGAGTAACCAGCAGTGAAATCACAAGCTCTAAATGATTTAGCATTTCTCTAAGGACATTGTACAAAGACTGAAAATAATCCACTGTTTCTGAAACATAAGAAAAAGTGTGTCAAATTGCAGGAAGATCTATTCCAAATCATACTACAATAAAAATACTTTATATGTAAAAGTCTTCCAATAAAAAAGCACAAAAACCAAACAGCCTGTCAGGAAAGCCGCGCTGAAAAGTCTTTTTATGGAAATATAAATACAGACGCTTTGGAAATCATGCCAAATAGGGCAAAACACAATTTACAATTACAAAACCTAAAGTTAGTTAAAGTGAACATACATGGTCCGTTTTTATACTTTCAACCTTTTGTTAAATTAAAAAAATCCAGTCAGACAGAAAATGTAGGCGTCTCGCCCAAAATCCCATTTTTATCTTTAAGAAGGCCGCTTAACATATTATGAAGTCAAATTAATGTCTACAGCTAACAAATTAATTTGTATTTAATCGAAGGTATTTTCCGCTCAGCCCTTCCATTTAACAGGTAGCAGATAAAATAAGAGCAAGGGGAACAAAATAAACTTTCCTATAGTTTTATTCCTCAGACAGTCTGAGCTAGAACACCAACTAGCTCGCGAGCTTATGGGAGGTTAAAACCTCAGATTTTTTATTTATATTTAGATTTTAGATTAGATCAACTTATTCAGAATTACTTTGATCAAAAACTATAAAAGTCTTTCTGTCCAAACACTCACAGAACTTCTCTTACATATAGATTTTATTTACTGGGGGGGGCATGTTACCCTGATCCCTGCAGCCAACAAGTCCTCCTAAAGGTCCGGGTCCTAGACCCGCCCCTGCTGCTCCCGGACCTCTAACGGGCCGCAACACAGAGACGCAACCCGCCATGTTTCAAAATGTCGGCGGAGTAAAACGGGAGCCTCGGGACCTAGACCACCAGAACCCGAGCCCGCGGTGCCCCGACCCGGTTTATAAAACTGCAGTACAGGACTAGAGTCAGACTGAGACCTCGGACCCACCTGCGCGTCGAACAGCTGCCGGTACACCTTTCCGCTCGGAACCGCCCTGCTCTCACACATGCTAACGGTTATTAGCTGCTGGTCCGGGTCTTACAGCGCCCCCCCTCGGAGCCGGATCACAGTCCCTCGGAGCCGGATCACAGTCCCCTCGGTACCGGATCAGGGTTCTGCCGTGTATGTAAGTCTGGGTCTCCCTGGTCCCGGTTTCTTCCTCTCCGGTTAGCTTGCTTGATCACCTTTACCTGCCGCTCCGAGCGTCTCTCCGTCACCACGGCAACCAGCAATGCTCTGCGGCGTTCCCGGTCCGCGGAGAAAATCGTAAATTCCGAACACGCGGCAGAAAAAGTCTTAAAACCCAAGATGTGAATCCGGAAGAGGGTCTTTTTAAAACGTATTTCCAGAATAAAGTGGAAACGTCGAGAAGAAAGTTTAATTCTGGGCCTCTTTGTTCTCAGAATGACCCTGGTGTTTGGGGACCGTTCACCTGGAGAATCTAAAATGTTCTTCTGAAAAGCAGCTTTTGGTTTTGAATTTTCAGAATAAGGTTGAATTTACTGAAAACATTTGTTCCCTATTTGTGGACCTAAACCTCTGTTCTAAAAGTTCCTCCAACCCGCTTTTGAGGAGAGCTTTTTAAACTCGGTAAGTGTAAAGTAAAGTTTAAATTCTCTAAAGTAAGCAACTGAAAGCGTCTGAAAACCTTTTCCTTTCGCTCTGCTGCTGTTGTTATTCATCAGATATTTATTCCTCGTGCGTTTCCTAAAACAGGAAGTTGCTGCTGTCGTCGAGCCGGAGCTCGTCCACTGTGAACTCCCCGGGCAGTAGCAGATCAATAAAACCAGTGCTTTTTCTTCCTCGCCGCAGACACAAACACGCCAGATGAAGCAGACGAACTTTATTCAAAATGTTCAGAAACCAAATCAACATCTTCACTAACAGAAAGATCTGACAGAACCAAGTTCAGTCCGAGTCGCTCATGTCGCTGATGCTGCTGTCGTCCAGGTTACCGGCGGGGTACTCTTTGCAGCAGAGCTTCGACCTGACGGCACGCTTCCTGTCGTCATGGAAACAAGAACAACAAGCTGCAGAAGGACTCTGATTGGTGCAGAAATATAAAGTGGAAACGAATCGCCAACTGACCTGCGGTAAAAGAAGTGTGGTTGAAATCTGGACTCGTCTGTCCCCGTCTCCTGCAGACAGACAGGTGGACAGACAGAGAGACAGACGGACAGGTGGAGACAGACAGAGAGACAGACAGACAGGTGGACAGACAGAGAGACAGACGGACAGACAGGTGGACAGACGGACGGACAGACAGGCGGACAGACAGAGAGACAGACAGACAGGTGGAGACAGACAGAGAGACAGACGGACAGACAGGCGGACAGACAGAGAGACAGACAGACAAGTGGACACAGACAGGTGGACAGACGGACAGACAGACAGACGGACAGACAGAGAGACGGACAGACAGGCGGACAGACAGAGGGACAGGTGGATAGACAGAGAGACGGACAGACAGACGGACAGACAGGCGGACAGACAGAGAGACAGACGGACAGACAGGTGGACAGACGGACAGACAGACAGGCGGACAGACAGAGAGACAGACGGACAGGTGGACAGACAGACGGACAGACAGGCGGACAGACAGAGAGACAGACGGACAGACAGGCGGACAGACAGGTGGACAGGTGGACAGACAGGTGGACAGGCAGACAGGTGGACAGACAGAGACAGACGGACAGGTGGACAGACAGAGAGACAGACGGACAGGTGTGTGATTATTAGGCTGTAACATCAAGCAGAGCATTCAGCACTGACCTGCTTTCTTGATGACAACTGTAATTGGTGCTGTAGAGAGCTTAAGTCCCGCCCCTTCCAGAGGACCTTACTTTGGAAAATATATGTACGGTAGTCAATGGCGAGAGACAACTTATCTTTTGATCCTGTTTGAGCTGAGCGCTGAATCACACACGTTAGCTTCAGTAACACTAGCTTCAGTGACGTTAGCTTCAGTAACACTAGCTTCAGCAACGTTAGCTTCAGCGACGTTAGCTTCAGTGACATTGGCTGCGATGACGTTAGCTTCAGTAACACTAGCTTTAGCAACGTTAGCTTCAGTGACGTTAGCTTCAGTGACGTTAGCTTCAATGACGTTAGCTTCAGTGACATTGGCTGCGATGACGTTAGCTTCAGTAACACTAGCTTCAGCAATGTTAGCTTCAGCAACGTTAGCTTCAGTGACGTTAGCTTCAGCAACGTTAGCTTCAATGACGTTAGCTGCGATGACGTTAGCTTCAGCGACGTTAGCTTCAGCAACGTTAGCTTCAGTGACGTTAGCTTCAGCGACGTTAGCTTCAGTGACGTTAGCTTCAGCGACGTTAGCTTCAGTGACATTGGCTGCGATGACGTTAGCTTCAGTAACACTAGCTTCAGCAACGTTAGCTTCAGCAACGTTAGCTTCAGTAACACTAGCTTCAGCAACGTTAGCTTCAGCGACGTTAGCTTCAGTGACATTGGCTGCGATGACGTTAGCTTCAGTGACGTTAGCTTCAGCGATGTTAGCTTCAGTGACGTTAGCTTCAGTGACATTAGCTTCAGTGACGTTAGCTTCAGTGACATTGGCTGCGATGACGTTAGCTTCAGTGACGTTAGCTTCAGTGACATTGGCTGCGATGACGTTAGCTTCAGTGACGTTAGCTTCAGTGACATTGGCTGCGATGACGTTAGCTTCAGTGACGTTAGCTTCAGCGATGTTAGCTTCAGTGACGTTAGCTTCAGTGACATTGGCTGCGATGACGTTAGCTTCAGCGATGTTAGCTTCAGTGACGTTAGCTTCAGTGACATTGGCTGCGATGACGTTAGCTTCAGTGACGTTAGCTTCAGTGACGTTAGCTTCAGTGACATTGCCTGCGATGACGTTAGCTTCAACAGTTTAACATCAAACTTTCCTGACTTGAAATGTACATTTTAAATTGACCATCATCATGTGTGCGATTCAGAGCACAGTTCAAACGGGATCAAAACATTAGTGGTGTCTCGCCGTTGACTACCGTACATAGTTTTTCCAAAGTAAGCTCCCATGGTGGTCCACAGGAAGGGGCGGGGCTTAGGCTCTCTCTAGGAGATAAATGTTGCTGTGTCATCTCTAAAGCGTGATTTATACTCCTGCGTCAGAACATGCGTAGTTACGCCGCACGTATACATGCATTTATACTTGTGCGTCGGTGTCATTCTGCAATTACACCGTCAAACGCTAGTCGGCAGCAGCGCTACAGCGTCCACTGTGTTGACTTTCATCATTTCGCTCTAATGGTAAAACTTCACTGACGTCAAAGAACTTCCTGTCGGCTCGGAGGCATTGTGAGGCCACCCAATCACAGTGCTCACGCTCCGCATCGCCTCCACGCATAGTTACATTTTTGAGGCTGCGGCGTAGCGCAAGTATAAATCGCACTTTACAGGCCTGAGGATGAAGCGTTGCTGTCGTCAGGCTGACGGCTGAAATCAAAGCCACTGTGTGTCTGCGTAGCGTCTGATTGGCTGCAGCTGTTTCTGCGTGTCATGATGTGGACAGACGTGTTTCTGGAAAGATCTCCGTTTTGCTGCTCTGACAGAGGTCGCAGCTCAAACACCGGACAGATGTTGCAGCTGTGCAGCTCGTTTCTTTACATGTCTGTCGCCGCCGTCGGCTGGGAGGGACTAACGCTGCTTTCGAGACAACTCGGAACTCAGAAATTTCTGACCTCCACCGTGAACGCCACCTGAAGTCCTCAGGTATATTACCCATGATGCAGCAGTCCTGGGCTTCTGTTTAGACTCTGTGGCTCCTCCCGGTGTTGAGCTGTTCTCCTGCGGGGCCGCCGCCTCCTCGTTCTCCCCCGACATCCCACTGCGCACCTCCTCGCTGCTGCCTGATCGCACAGGGTCACATGATACCAGGTCACATGATCACACCGCTTCACGTCTCGCCACTCCTCATGACCTTGACGTGACTCACCTTTATCGGCGTTGTCTGCGGGCTCCTCCTCTTCCTCACTGCTCCTGTCACACTGAGGGAGAAAGCCTTCATCATTACATCATCGTTGTCATTACATCATCAACACTGTCATCACCTCCTCTCCCTCCGCCTCCTCACCTGGTGAGTTTTACAGGTGAGCCTGCGGAGGCGTGTCCTCAACTGTAGCTCCTCCCCCTGTGACCTCAGCAGCATGAGCTCCAGCCTATCAAATTTCTCAGTGAGCTGTCTGACCAGCTCTCTGTACTGGTCCTTCTCCTGCAGGAGCAGCCGCACCTCCTCATGCTTCTCCGACTGCAACGACACAGCCTGAAACACCAATCAGAGGGCTCACAATCATGACATCATCACTACGCTCCTCCTCCTGTCCCACTCCCTGTTCCCCTCCTCCTCCTCCTCTCGTCTCTCCCTGTTCCCCTCCTCCTCCTCCTCTCGTCTCTCTCTCTCCCTGTTCCCCGGTCACCTCCTCCTCCTCTCGTCTCTCCCTGTTCCCCTCCTCCTCCTCCTCTCGTCTCTCGTCTCTCCCTGTTCCCCTCCTCCTCCTCCTCCGCCTCTCGTCTCTCCCTGTTCCCCTCCTCCTCCTCCTCCTCTCGTCTCTCCCTGTTCCCCTCCTCCTCCTCCTCTCGTCTCTCTCTCTCCCTGTTCCCCGGTCACCTCCTCCTCTTCCTCCCCCTCACCTTGTCGCGCTCCCCGGTCACCTCCTCCTCTTCCTCCCCCTCACCTTGTCCCGCTCCCCGGTCACCTCCTCCTCTTCCCCCCCCTCACCTTGTCCCGCTCCCCGGTCACCTCCTCCTCTTCCCCCCCCTCACCTTGTCCCGCTCCCCGGTCACCTCCTCCTCTTCCTCCCCCTCACCTTGTCCCGCTCCCCGGTCACCTCCTCCTCTTCCCCCCCTCACCTTGTCCCGCTCCCCGGTCACCTCCTCCTCTTCCTCCCCCTCACCTTGTCCCGCTCCCCAGTCACCTCCTCCTCCTCTTCCCCCCCTCACCTTGTCCCGCTCCCCGGTCACCTCCTCCTCTTCATCCCCCCCCTCACCTTGTCCCGCTCCCCGGTCACCTCCTCCTCCCCCTCACCTTGTCCCGCTCCCCGGTCACCTCCTCCTCTTCCCCCCCTCACCTTGTCCCGCTCCCCGGTCACCTCCTCCTCTTCCCCCCCCCCCGCTCCCCGGTCACCTCCTCCTCTTCCCCCCCTCACCTTGTCCCGCTCCCCGGTCACCTCCTCCTCTTCCCCCCCCTCACCTTGTCCCGCTCCCCAGTCACCTCCTCCTCCTCTTCCCCCCCCTCACCTTGTCCCGCTCCCCGGTCACCTCCTCCTCCTCCCCCTCACCTTGTCCCGCTCCCCGGTCACCTCCTCCTCCTCCTCCTCCTCCCCCTCACCTTGTCCCGCTCCCCGGTCACCTCCTCCTCCTCCTCCTCCTCCTCCCCCTCACCTTGTCCCGCTCCCCGGTCACCTCCTCCTCCCCCCCCTCACCTTGTCCCGCTCCCCGGTCACCTCCTCCAGGTGTCTGAGGGTTTGTTTGTTTCGTTGTCGGTATATCCTGACGTCCTCCTTCAGCTGAGCGCAGCGCAGCTGCAGCTCCTCCTTCTCCTCCAGGCTCTGAAAACAAACACCCCTGATCAGCTGATCCAACAGAAGCACCTGGAGGAGCTGTGATGGTTCTACCTGCTGCTCTCTCACACACCTGGACACATTCACACCTGCTGTTAGTAAATGTAGCGTACGCTCTTATTCTGAAGGCAGGTACAGTTCCTCATTATATTTCATCTATGTAAACATGTTAATGAGTGACATCACTGAAACCTAATCAATCAATCAATCAATCATTTAATCAATCAATCAATCAATCATTTAATCAATCAATCAATCAATCAATCAATCATTTAATCAATCAATCAATCATTTAATCAATCAATCAATCAATCATTTAATCAATCAATCAATCAATCATTTAATCAATCAATCAATCAATCAGCACTCCTCTTTTCTGACCGTGTGCAGGAAGTTTGGCGTTTTACCAAAATAAAGCAGCGTGAATACATTTTACAGGACTTGTCTGAAAGAAAGGAGGCGCGCCTCCTTCTGACTGTAAGGAGGTTCATTCAGTGTATTTTTAGACTTATTTTCCTCCTCCTCCTCCTCCTCCTCCTCCTCACCCTGGCTCTCTTCTCCTCGGCTCTGTGGAGGTCTGTCCTCAGTCTGAACACTGTAGTGAGGAGGTTCATCTGAGGAGGAGCTGGACTGTCCTGCTGCTGCTGCTTCTCCTCCTTTTTCTCCTTCTCCTCCTTTTTCTCCTTCTCCTCCTCCTTTTTCTCCTCCTGCTCCTCCTCTTTCTGCTCCTCCGCTCTGTTGGGGTGGAAGAAGGTCTCTGTGGGCAGAGCCACACCCCTGCTCTGAAAACACACATTCAAACATTAATGTTGTTGCTCACGAACGCTACTTTTGGCCATAAAAGTGTTTAACTATTTATTTTACTTTTCTCTCCATGTCTCTCTCCCGGCCAATTTATACTGCGTTGAATCTACACTGTAGGCCGCTGCAACCTCTAGTGATGGTGCAGTGGATAAGACGCATGCCTTTGGCCGGGGTTCAACTCCCCACTATTATACAACCACCATTACTCCAGAAGCGTGCCACCTCCTGACATATAGAGCAATTGTAAGTCGCTTGGGATAAAAGTGTCAGCTAAATGAATAAATGTAATGTACCCTACGCCGTGGCCTCGTACCCTACGCCGTTGCCTCGTACCCTACGCCGTAGCCTCGTACCCTACGCCGTTGCCTCGTACCCTACGCCGTTGCCTCGTACCCTACGCCGTAGCCTCCTACCCTACGCCGTAGCCTCGTACCCTACGCCGTAGCCTCGTACCCTACGCCGTAGCCTCAGTACCCTATGCCATAGCTTCTACCCTACGCCGTTGCCTCGTACCCTACGCCGTTGCCTCGTACCCTACGCCGTAGCCTCGTACCCTACGCCGTGGCCTCGTACCCTACGCCGTGGCCTCGTACCCTATGAAGCTGTGTCGTACTATATGCCGTAGTTTTGATCCCTAAGCCTGTGAACAGAGGCCTCGTACTCTATACCATAGCCTCATACGCTATGCTGTAGCTTCTACCCTACGCCGAAGCCTCATACCCTACACCATAGCCTCAGTACCCTATGAAGTTGTCTCGCACGTTATGCCATAGCCTAGTACTGCCTACGCCATAGCCTCATACTTCCTATGCTGTGGCCTCGTACTCCCTACGCCGTGGCCTCGTACTCCCTATGTTGTGGCCTCGTACTCCCTACGTTGTGACCTCGTACCCTACACCGTAGCCTCGTACCCTACGCCGTGGCCTCGTACCCTATGAAGCTGTGTCGTACTATATGCCGTAGTTTTGATCCCTAAGCCTGTGAACAGAGGCCTCGTACTCTACACCATAGCCTCATACCCTATGAAGTTGTCTCGCACGTTATGCCATAGCCTGGTACTGCCTACGCCATAGCCTCATACTCCCTACGCCATGGCCTCGTACTCCCTATGCCGTTGCCTCGTACCCTACGCCGTTGCCTCGTACCCTACGCCATGGCCTCGTACTCCCTACGCCATGGCCTCGTACTCCCTACGCCGTAGCCTCGTACCCTACGCCGTAGCCTCGTACTCCCTACGCCGTGGCCTCGTACTCCCTACGCCGTGGCCTCGTACTCCCTACGCCGTAGCCTCGTACTCCCTACGCCATGGCCTCGTACTCCCTACGCCGTGGCCTCGTACCCTACGCCGTAGCCTCGTACCCTACGCCGTGGCCTCGTACTCCCTACGCCGTGGCCTCGTACTCCCTACGCCGTTGCCTCGTACTCCCTACGCCGTTGCCTCGTACTCCCTACGCCATGGCCTCGTACTCCCTACGCCATGGCCTCGTACTCCCTACGCCGTTGCCTCGTACTCCCTACGCCGTGGCCTCGTACTCCCTACGCCGTAGCCTCGTACCCTACGCCGTGGCCATGTCTCTCTCCCGGCCAATTTATACTGCGTTGAATCTACACTGTAGGCCGCTGCAACCTCTAGTGATGGTGCAGTGGATAAGACGCATGCCTTTGGCCGGGGTTCAACTCCCCACTATTATACAACCACCATTACTCCAGAAGCGTGCCACCTCCTGACATATAGAGCAATTGTAAGTCGCTTGGGATAAAAGTGTCAGCTAAATGAATAAATGTAATGTACCCTACGCCGTGGCCTCGTACCCTACGCCGTAGCCTCGTACCCTACGCCGTTGCCTCGTACCCTACGCCGTTGCCTCGTACCCTACGCCGTAGCCTCCTACCCTACGCCGTAGCCTCGTACCCTACGCCGTAGCCTCGTACCCTACGCCGTAGCCTCAGTACCCTATGCCATAGCTTCTACCCTACGCCGTTGCCTCGTACCCTACGCCGTTGCCTCGTACCCTACGCCGTAGCCTCCTACCCTACGCCGTAGCCTCCTACCCTACGCCGTGGCCTCGTACCCTACGCCGTGGCCTCGTACCCTATGAAGCTGTGTGGTACTATATGCCGTAGTTTTGATCCCTAAGCCTGTGAACAGAGGCCTCGTACTCTATACCATAGCCTCATACGCTATGCTGTAGCTTCTACCCTACGCCGAAGCCTCATACCCTACACCATAGCCTCAGTACCCTATGAAGTTGTCTCGCACGTTATGCCATAGCCTAGTACTGCCTACGCCATAGCCTCATACTTCCTATGCTGTGGCCTCGTACTCCCTACGCCGTGGCCTCGTACTCCCTATGTTGTGGCCTCGTACTCCCTACGTTGTGACCTCGTACCCTACACCGTAGCCTCGTACCCTACGCCGTGGCCTCGTACCCTATGAAGCTGTGTCGTACTATATGCCGTAGTTTTGATCCCTAAGCCTGTGAACAGAGGCCTCGTACTCTACACCATAGCCTCATACCCTATGAAGTTGTCTCGCACGTTATGCCATAGCCTGGTACTGCCTACGCCATAGCCTCATACTCCCTACGCCATGGCCTCGTACTCCCTATGCCGTTGCCTCGTACCCTACGCCGTTGCCTCGTACCCTACGCCATGGCCTCGTACTCCCTACGCCGTGGCCTCGTACCCTACGCCGTAGCCTCGTACTCCCTACGCCGTAGCCTCGTACTCCCTACGCCATGGCCTCGTACTCCCTACGCCGTAGCCTCGTACTCCCTACGCCATGGCCTCGTACTCCCTACGCCGTTGCCTCGTACCCTACGCCGTAGCCTCGTACCCTACGCCGTAGCCTCGTACTCCCTACGCCGTGGCCTCGTACTCCCTATGCCGTAGCCTCGTTCCCTACGCCATGGCCTCGTACTCCCTACGCCGTTGCCTCGTACTCCCTACACCGTGGCCTCGTACTCCCTACGCCGTAGCCTCGTACCCTACGCCGTGGCCTCGTACTCCCTACGCCGTGGCCTCGTACTCCCTATGCCGTAGCCTCGTTCCCTACGCCGTAGCCTCGTACTCCCTACGCCGTGGCCTCGTACTCCCTATGCCGTAGCCTCGTTCCCTACGCCGTAGCCTCGTACTCCCTACGCCGTGGCCTCGTACTCCCTATGCCGTAGCCTCGTTCCCTACGCCCTACCCTCCTACAGGTTTAACTTCAGCATCAGCTTCACTGGTGGGAGCCGGAGGGTTCTGCTTGACACAGAAGTATTAATTGGCCTTAACTTGTTTACTGTTCAAACATGTCAAAACAATTGTTTTTAAAAAACTAGGAACAAATAGTTTATCTCAATTATCTCAAATTGTTAAATATCAGATGTGAAGTGGAAGCGCAGACAGTGTCAGTTAAAGTCGACAGTGTGGCTCTAAAGAAGCGAGATAAAAGGCGTCTTCACCTTCTGCAGCTGCCTCAGTGTTCGGCATCTCAGCAGGCGAGTCTGACTTTCAGCTCGCTGCACCGTGTGTTTCAGACGCTCCACCTGCACACACACACACACACACACAGAGGTCAGAGGTCAGATCCACCTGCAGGGGTCAACGTGAGGGGGAGGGGTCAGCCGACCTCTATCTGCAGGTCCCTGTTGGCCAGCAGGGCGTTGCTCTTCTCCTGGCTCAGAGCGTTGATGTCCGCCATCAGACTGTAGTTGTGATCTCTGAACTGTTTCACCTCCTCATTCAGCCGGTCCCGCTCCTCCCGAACTTTCTGCACGCGCTCAGTCAGCTTCTTCAGCTCGCGGTCCCTCAGCTGCTGCTGCCGAGACCAAACCTCCTGGAGGCCGCCACAAACCAGCAGGCCAAAACACAAAGATGTAATCAGCATGGTACCGTCTGTGGTCAGAGAGCGCTGTGACCTACAGCATTAACGCTTCCTTGGTAACCTGCCCACCTGTTCCTTGGCGAGGGAGCAGGCCTGCTGGCGACGCCTCCTCTCGTCCTGCAGCGCCCTCTGCATGCGGCTCAGCTCCGACATCAAGAACTGAGTCAGACCTGATTCACCTGCTGTGTCTGAAGAGAGAGACACGTTAGTAACGCCAAATTATTAACGGGACAGACAGACAGACAGACAGGTGACCAGAGAGGTGAACAGACAGACAGACAGGTGACCAGAGAGGTGAACAGACAGACAGACAGGTGACCAGACAGACAGGTGACCAGACAGACAGACAGGTGAACAGACAGGTGACCAGACAGACAGGTGAACAGACAGACAGGTGAACAGACCAATGAGGATGCTGAAGGTCCTGTTGGGCTCCTTCCCGGTGATGCGGCTGTACAGTTGAGGATAATCCAGCTCCAGACTTTCCAGGAAGGCTGTGTAACCTTTGACCCCGGTCCTCTGCAGGATGTCCAGCAGGGCTCCTGCAGAGGACCGGGGTCAGTACAAAAGGTCAAAGATGAAAACTGTTTGATTGGGCACCACTTCACCCGCTCATACGACGAGCTGACCTGTGTGACATCATTTCACGTGCTCCGATACGCCCACTGTGATTGGATGAATGTTTCAGAAAGTGTTTCTTACCGGCTTTTCTACTCCTGATGACGAGGGCGGGGTCGTTGAAGAGCTGCTCCTCATCATCAGCGCCGATCACCTGACAGTGCCCGCCACAAAACAACCAATCAACACCTTACGCGTACGGCAAAGGAGGAGCTGTGTGGAATAAAGCAGCAGGAGGAGCGACAGGAGAACAATAAGATGCAGCAGGAGCAGGAGGCTCAGCAGGAGTTCTTGACTCTGGTGGAGTGTGGTGTGTGGAGGAGGAGGAGGGAGCACTAAAAACAAGGACAGGAGTATAAGGAGGTGCAGAAGGAGCAGATGGACCTGGCACTGGCAGTATAAGGAGGTGAAGCAGGTAGGGAGTGACTGGAGGAGGAGCAGCAGGAGTTACCTGGCACTGGCGGAGGTACGGGGTGATCCTGGAGGGCTCGATGGTTTTGATGAGCAGCATCCTGAAGTCGTCCAGCTGCAGCCAGCAGAGGTCGTCCTCACTCACCCCGTCCATCGCTCTGAGTACACTCCCCGAGTACTAGTACACACTCTGTGTATTTATAGTGCTCACACACACCTGCAGGGTCTCTGCTGCCGTCTCACACACCTGTCCGTCTCTTTTAACCGTCTGTGTCTGTCGTTGATCTGCTTCCGTTTTCTCTGAGGAACAAGTCGTTTCTCTCACTTCCTGTTTCGCCTCTGTGACTGGCAGTGACACCGTTTATTCAAATTCATCTGGATCCACCAATCACATCTCAGCTCCGCAGCACTTCATCTCTGGCCAGTTTGTCGGGTGTCTCATTGAAACCTGATCCTGGATCAGGTCATCAGGTCTCTTCTTCCAGAAACATCAGGAAGTTCAGAAACTCTTCTCGGTGCAGGGAATATAATAAAAGTATTGTTTTTGCAGAAACTGAACCTCGTTATACAGCCCTGTAAAATTAGAAATTAATCTACCTACAGAAGTACAGTTCAGGTACTATATCTGCAAGAGACGTGAGCTCAGCAAGAGGACCCGATTAAAGCCGGGGCAGGTTTGCAGGAGACGGCAGAACTGCCCTCCCTTCAGAGCTCATGTTCATGCACAGTGAGTGCAGGTCCAGCAACAGTAGATTAATGCATCAATAATCATAATATCCATGATTCTAAAGTCAGCCATGCTGCTTTCCTTCCAAATCACTTCCTAATAGGTTTCCTGAAACAGCCCATTCCTTTTTTACCCCGACCCCTTGTTTTCCAGGCTACCCTTTTCCCCTTGGTTGAAATCTCCCCCTGCGAAACGGGACGACCCTTCAGGAACCCGATACATCATCAGTAGTCGATGGCGGCTCTTACGTTAACAGACGTGACGAGTTTTTGCCGGACTTCTCCGTGACAACACGTCCAGTTTGCCGTCCTCACAAATCGGACAAGAAAACAAGACGTCTTCAACGCATCCGAGCGCTGACGGACATGTTTGTGGTCCGTAGGATGGACCGCAACCAGCTGAAGTCAATACGCCGCAACGTTAGTCACTTTAGACATGTTCATGTGAATGAAACAGTTTGTGATACACATATGTGTTTACTACATTTAGCAATGCATTCTGGGAGCTTCCTCGTAGGCAGCCGTACCGCTTCACCCAACCGCTCTGTTGCAACAAGGACCTGGACCCCCTACCTGTAGGTGTGGACCTTTTTATACAGTCTGTGGTGTGACATCTGAAATCCAGAGTGATGGAGCGCTTCCATGTGAATTTTAGTGAAATAACTAAAACAACAGTTTCCTGTTCAGCAATGGTCTTTCTACCCGGGTGGAGATGGCTTCCCTGACCCCTCTTCCAAACCATCCATCCTTTCTGTCCTCAAACTTTGTTCACATCTTTCTTTCCTTCTTTAAGTTCCTTTTGTGTAGCAGGAGGGAACGCTCTCTGATTACAGCTTCCGCCAACAGTAATCCATCAGCATCATTAGATGTTCGGACTCTGCAGAGAGGTGAACCGTGGGATCCCAATCGCAGCAAGGAAAGTAACATGGGAGCCATTTCAGCATTAAATCATCAAGTCAAGAACTTAATCTGTCAAAGAGAAAAGTGGGAAAGTTTCAGACGACGATGATGAAACATCCAAGGTGGAGGGAAGTCAGCTGGAAACATCTGATGACCTTTTTCATCACGCTGAAGCTGAACCAGCAGTTTCACAGACGTCAGATCATTTGGCATCCATCACTCACGGGGTTTTTTGAAAATACAAAATAACCGTTTGGGGAAATAGTAAAGTGCTGCCACAAAAGATATAAAGTCCCTAAGTTGTGTGAAGAGACCGACAGTTGCAGCTATCAGCAAATAAACAGCTGTTGGGATGAACTTACAGCCTCGGCCAGCTTTGTTTCAGGTCCTCAGAGAGTTCTTTGCCATGAGCTGCCATGTTGAACTTCCAGCGAGCAGTATGAGGGAGCGTGAGAGCGACAACACCAAATTTAACACACCTGCGACCCTGTAACACTAACGAGTCACAGGACAGCGGGGAGGGAAAATGGCTGATTGGACCCAATTTGGACATTTTCACTTTAGTTGCCAGCGGTTTAGACATTAACGGCTGTGTGACGTGTTATTTTGAGGGGACAGCAGATTTACACTGTTATACAAGCTGTTTTTGAGAACGGTAAGTAAATTTCTGAAGCGGGACGGTTTTTGAATTACAAGTTGTGTCTCTCGTTTCACGCGTCCCAGTAAGGATTAATCTACAGGTTAGTTAGTGCTTTAACATTAACACTCTGCCCTGTCACAGTTGATGTGTCAGGAGTTCCTGTCGGGCTACAGAGACCACAAGTGTTTATTTTGTCCCTCTGCTAATGTGGTGACTTTCTCTGCGCTGCAGCATGTAGTGAAACATGTTCATGTTACATTATACCGGCAGAATGTGCCGAGAGTGAAGGTCAGAAAGACAGACGGAGGTCTGATTCAGCCAGATGTTTGTGAGAGGGTCTTTCTGGACATCTCTGTCAGAAACAGGACAGCTGCTAAGTCGCACGGCGTACTGCAGGAGGAGGGCAGAGACCAGACCACCAGGGTACAGATCACATTCTAGAGTTGAGCTGATATTGATTTTGGCTGTTAAAAAGCTCACTCACACTGCTCAAACTCAAAAAAATTTAAAGTCATTACAAAATGTGAAATTTGTATTTTTTGTAAATAGCTGCTGCAAATATCCCAGTGCAGGATCAGTAAAGTTTTATTTTATAAACAGTCTCCCTCCAACAATTGTTTTACTGTTTTAGGTGCAAACATTTGCACATGAATTGGCCAGCAGATCGTGCTGCAAATATCCCGGTGGATGAAGATGGCGGGAAAGGACTGGCTCACCTCCTTCCTTGAACGCAACAATAGCCTACGTTGTCCATTCAGCAGCTTCAATAAATGGTTCTTGCCCGCTAACTTTTGGTAGCAGAGGACACTTGGAACATGGATGAGACCAGTACGGTTACGTTCACATTTATGTTTTATCAGAAGCTTTTCCATGTCCCATCTATGAACTTTACATCCAGATGTTTTCATGCATGTTTTGGAATTATGTAGACAAACATACTACTACTTTTGCATTATTTTGAGAATTTATATTTATAGTATGAATATTAATTATCATATTGTTGAAGAAATGTTTTATAAAATGGATTGATATTGCCAATAAAATACATTTTAAACAATTATACAGTTTGGTTACTTTTGAAACATATGATGAAACTTTTAAATAAATAATAAAGAAAATTTCAAAGTTTAATGTAATTTATAATTTTTTTGCAAAGATAAAGGGCAAAATATACTTGCAGATTAACAAGGTCATGCATAGTTCATAAAAACAAGGATAAAAAAAAGAAGTGAAATTATACGGAAGTCGTTATACATTTCTACAAAATACCACCTGGTAAAATGAGGTTTTTCTGAAAAATGGTACCTTCATCCCCGCTGTATATATTTACACACACATATACATAGTGTGTGTGTATATATATATATATATATTTTACATACTTGATTGTGATGTTTACAGACACAGAGTACTTTTGTGTGCCAATCTGAATTTCCTCTACAGGGCATCAATAAAGGAACATCTTATCTGATTCTTGTACATGAACAGCCAAAAGGAGGAAGTATTCATATTCTTTACTACAGAGAAGAAATAAATGTAGGTACTGTAGCTGATGGACTGAGGTGTTCGCAGCAGCTTTCATCAGTTAACAATCCGATCACGTTTCAGAAGGATAGTTCAGTTTTCTCATCAGCAGTTTGTTCAGACAGAAAGAGGAAGAAGTGAAGAATTAGAGAAGTCAGTGGAGGAATGACTCAACGTGAACAGGAAACACCAGCTGACTGAAACAGGAAGCGATGTAACAGCACCACAGATTTGTGTTTATGGAGATTCCTGGATGTCTCACTGAGCTGAAGTGAAACTCAACAGAGGAGAAAGTCAAACAGCCCGTGAGCAGAATTCATAGAAACAAACAAACAAACCGTCTTCCAAGTACGACCCGTCGTCCAGGTACGACCCGTCGTCCAGGTACGACCCGTCTTCCAAGTACGACCCGTCTTCCAAGTACGACCGTCGTCCAGGTACGACCCGTCTTCCAGGTACGACCGTCGTCCAGGTACGACCCGTCTTCCAAGTACGACCGTCTTCCAAGTACGACCCGTCTTCCAAGTACGACCCGTCGTCCAGGTACGACCGTCGTCCAGGTACGACCCGTCTTCCAGGTACGACCGTCTTCCAAGTACGACCCGTCTTCCAAGTACGACCGTCTTCCAAGTACGACCGTCTTCCAGGTACGACCCGTCTTCCAAGTACGACCGTCTTCCAAGTACGACCCGTCGTCCAGGTACGACCCGTCTTCCAAACGACCGTCTTCCAAGTACGACCCGTCTTCCAAGTACGACCCGTCTTCCAAGTACGACCCGTCTTCCAAACGACCGTCTTCCAAGTACGACCCATCTTCGAGGATGATCAACACGCCTCCTCCACGTGCGGCGCAGCTGGTTCTGTGAACAGAATTGCGCCTTTATATAACGTAGCCTAGGTAGAGAGACGGTAGAGAGACGGAAAGAAGCGGGACACGCTGACATGTTTCCAGGAACGTTAGACCTGTGAGAGTAATTGAGAGTCCCTAGTGTCCCCAACAGTTCCCAGTGTCCCCTACAGTCCCCCACAGTCCCCAGTGTCCCTTACAGTCCACCATCCCCTACAGTCCTCAGTGCCCCCACAGTCCTCAGTGTCCCCACATAGTCCCCAGTGCCTCCAAGGTCCCCCACAGAGTCCCCAGTGCCCCCCGGTGCCCCACAGAGTCCCCGGTGCCCCACAGAGTCCCCAGTGACCCCAAAGTCCCCAGTGACCCCAAAGTCAGTTTCTAAAACTGGTCCTGGTAAACACAAGCGCAAACAGCTACACGTCACTTAAACTCTCTTTATTACAAAATAATTACTGAACATTTTCTTTACAGAAGCTTAATGAAGACAACAAAAACAAACAACACATTGTTTAGTGCAATTTCTTCCCTCTGAGATACCTGAACGCCCCACAGAGCTCCAAATGATTCTGTTAAACCTGCAGGGTTCTTCGCCTTCACGTCCCTGCGCATCACATTTTATACTGATCTTCCTTTAAGCACAAACAGCTTCACCTCATCTCTGTCAAAATCCTCCTGCAGACTGAAACTTGATTTAAACAACACATTACTATTTAGTGCATTCAAGGACACACTGCTGATTTATGAGCTTTGTTATCAGAACATCTAACTCAGACCCAAAAACTCAGCCGGCTCTCGGAGTCCTGCGGCTGTCCAGAGAGAAAACCATTTACTTTAAACCGTCTCCAACCTCAAACTGACTTTTCATTTTCAACTCATCCAACATGTCGGCTGAGGAACAGAACACTGGAGTGGTCCGGTCTGGAGCGGTCCGGTCTAGAGTGATCTGGTCGAGGTCGGTGGAGGGCGGGCTGGTGTTGATTCCAGAGAAGTGATTGGCTGGAGCTCCGGACCCATCACGCAGCAGCAAAGATCTCTGGAGAGAGACATAGAGACTGATCAGTGAGTCTGTTCAGGTCTTCATGGTACAGAACAGATCCAGGTCCCATCGGTGCTTAAAAGACACCTTGAAGAATCCTCTGATCGTCTCCACCAGCTTACTTTTTAATAATTATTTTGTTCAACATTTGATAGTTTGCTGTAGAACGCCAAACTTTTTGTCCCGCCCTATCCAGGCTGTGATTGGTCGGTAGACAAAAAGAGACACTGACATGAGCTTTATGAAAAATGACAAAAGGCAGCGATGCAGCTAACATTAAATTGCCAGCGTGCCAAACCTTCTTTATCTTCTTCCTGTTTTCTTCTGTCTCACTGCTTCAGCTGCCGACGACGCCTCTCTGTCTCGCACCCTGATCCATCAGAACTCCAATCAGAAAACAAACATTTTAAAAGCTGTTGTCATCTCGCTGACAGACCTGACAAAGCATGACTTCATATTTTTAACAAATCTGCATCATGGTGTCGTTATTTAAGCATAAATTTGATCCGTTTCTTGCAACTAAATCCCTGCTATGTTTGTTTTGGGTTCAGACAGCTGTAGTGATGGTGAGTTGTGTTTTTTCGCGTCATCGTGTGATGTGTCATTGAGAAGCGAGAAAAGACACGTGAGGATTAAATTTGAGTTTGGTCTGAATACACAGTAAGAAGAACCGATAACTCACCTCAGCTTTCCTCCGTCTTCCTCTTTCTTTGATGTTTTTTAACTCCTCCTCCTCGTCATCCACCTCCTCCATCTCCTCCTCCTCACTGGATGGGCGCGTTACAGTCTTGTTTGTGATTGGCTGCATGGTGGCCAGGAGGGCAGGGACAGTGAAGCAGGACAGGAAGCGGATTTTCAGCAGCTGGTAGGCGGGGTTATCTGAGAAACGCTCCGCCACTAGCTGACGCACCGTTGCCACAAGCTCCGCCTCCTCCTCCTCCAGGTGGGTGGAGCTGACAGCGGGAGCTGCAGGAGGACAAAACAAACAAAAGGTTTTCGGGGTTAATCAGACCTGCAAGCGCCATTTCATACATTTAAGGTTTGTTTGTTTGACACAGAGGAAGAAGTGAGGACAGGTGTGTCGCCTGATGTGTTTGTTGCCTGGTGTGTTTGTTGCCTGGTGTGTGTGATGCCTGGTGTGTGTGATGCCTGGTGTGCGTGTCGCCTGGTGTGCGTGTCGCCTGGTGTGCGTGTCGCCTGGTGTGTTTGTCGCCTGGTGTGTTTGTCGCCTGGTGTGTTTGTCGCCTGGTGTGTTGCATGGTGTGTTTGTTGCCTGGTGTGTTTGTCGCCTGGTGTGTTGCATGGTGTGTTTGTTGCCTGGTGTGCGTGTCGCCTGGTGTGTTTGTTGCCTGGTGTGTTTGTTGCCTGGTGTGTTACATGGTGTGTAGCCTGAGGTGATGCCTGGTGTGCGTGTCGCCTGGTGTGCGTGTTGCCTGGTGTGTTTGTTGCCTGGGGTGATGCCTGGTGTGTTTGTCGCCTGGTGTGTTACATGGTGTGTTGCCTGAGGTGATGCCTGGTGTGCGTGTCGCCTGGTGTGTTATATGGCGTGTTGCCTGGGGTGATGCCTGGTGTGTTTGCCGCCTGGTGTGCGTGTCGCCTGGTGTGTTATATGGCGTGTTGCCTGGGGTGATGCCTGGTGTGTTTGTCGCCTGGTGTGCGTGTCGCCTGGTGTGTTATATGGCGTGTTGCCTGGGGTGATGCCTGGTGTGTTTGTCTCCTGGTGTGCGTGTCGCCTGGTGTGTTATATGGCGTGTTGCCTGGGGTGATGCCTGGTGTGTTTGTCGCCTGGTGTGTTGCCTGGGGTGATGCCTGGTGTGCGTGTTGCCTGGTGTGTTTGTTGCCTGGGGTGATGCCTGGTGTGTTTGTCGCCTGGTGTGTTACATGGTGTGTTGCCTGGTTTGTTTGTTGCCTGGGGTGATGCCTGGTGTGTTTGTCGCCTGGTGTGTTACATGGTGTGTTGCCTGGTTTGTTTGTTGCCTGGGGTGATGCCTGGTGTGTTTGTTGCCTGGTGTGTGTGTTACATGGTGTGTTGCCTGGGGTGATGCCTGGTGTGCGTGTTGCCTGGTGTGTTTGTTGCCTGGTGTGCGTGTTGCCTGGTGTGCGTGTCGCCTGGTGTGTTACATGGTGTGTTGCCTGAGGTGTTGCCTGGTGTGCGTGTCGCCTGGTGTGTTATATGGCGTGTTGCCTGGGGTGATGCCTGGTGTCCGTGTTGCCTGGTGTGTTACATGGTGTGTTGCCTGGGGTGATGCGTGGTGTGTTTGTTGCCTGGTGTGTTTGTTGCCTGGGGTGATGCCTGGTGTGTTTGTCGCCTGGTGTGCGTGTCGCCCGGTGTGTTTGTTGCCAGGGTGATGCCTGGTGTGTTTGTCGCCTGGTGTGCGTGTCGCCTGGTGTGCGTGTCGCCTGGTGTGTTACATGGTGTGTTGCCTGAGGTGATGCCTGGTGTGCGTGTCGCCTGGTGTGTTATATGGCGTGTTGCCTGGGGTGATGCCTGGTGTCCGTGTTGCCTGGTGTGTTACATGGTGTGTTGCCTGGGGTGATGCGTAGTGTGTTTGTTGCCTGGTGTGTTTGTTGCCTGGGGTGATGCCTGGTGTGTTTGTCGCCTGGTGTGCGTGTCGCCCGGTGTGTTTGTTGCCAGGGGTGATGCCTGGTGTGTTTGTCGCCTGGTGTGCGTGTCGCCCGGTGTGTTTGTCGCCTGGTGTGCGTGTCGCCCGGTGTGTTTGTTGCCAGGGGTGATGCCTGGTGTGTTTGTCGCCTGGTGTGCGTGTCGCCTGGTGTGTTTGTTGCCAGGGGTGATGCCTGGTGTGTTTGTCGCCTGGTGTGTTACATGGTGTGTTGCCAGGGGTGATGCCTGGTGTGTTTGTCGCCTGGTGTGTTGCATGGTGTGTTTGTTGCCTGGTGTGATGCCTGGTGTGTTTGTCGCCTGGTGTGCGTGTCGCCCGGTGTGTTTGTTGCCAGGGGTGATGCCTGGTGTGTTTGTCGCCTGGTGTGTTATATGGCGTGTTGCCTGGGGTGATGCCTGGTGTGCGTGTTGCCTGGTGTGTTTGTTGCCTGGGGTGATGCCTGGTGTGTTACATGGTGTGTTGCCTGGGGTGATGCCTGGTGTGTTTGTTGCCTGGTGTGTTTGTTACCTGGGGTGATGCCTGGTGTGTTTGTCGCCTGGTGTGCGTGTCGCCCGGTGTGTTTGTTGCCAGGGGTGATGCCTGGTGTGTTTGTCACCTGGTGTGTTACATGGTGTGTTGCCTGGGGTGATGCCTGGTGTGTTTGTTGCCTGGGGTGATGCCGGGTGTGTTTGTCGCCTGGTGTGCGTGTCGCCCGGTGTGTTTGTTGCCAGGGGTGATGCCTGGTGTGTTTGTCGCCTGGTGTGATACATGGTGTGTTGTCTGGGGTGATGCCTGGGGTGCGTATCGCCTGGTGTGCGTGATGCCTGGTGTGCGTGATGCCTGGTGTGCGTGTCGCCTGGGGTGATGCCTGGTGTGTTTGTTGCCTGGGGTGATGCCTGGTGTGTTTGTCGCCTGGTGTGCGTGTCGCCTGGTGTGTTTGTTGCCAGGGGTGATGCCTGGTGTGTTTGTCGCCTGGTGTGTTACATGGTGTGTTGCCAGGGGTGATGCCTGGTGTGTTTGTCGCCTGGTGTGTTACATGGTGTGTTGCCAGGGGTGTTGCCTGGTGTGTTTGTCGCCTGGTGTGTTTGTCGCCTGGTGTGTTACATGGTGTGTTGCCTGGGGTGATGCCTGGTGTGCGTGTTGCCTGGTGTGTTTGTTGCCTGGGGTGATGCCTGGTGTGTTACATGGTGTGTTGCCTGGGGTGATGCCTGGTGTGTTTGTTGCCTGGTGTGTTTGTTACCTGGGGTGATGCCTGGTGTGTTTGTCGCCTGGTGTGTTTGTTACCTGGGGTGATGCCTGGTGTGTTTGTCGCCTGGTGTGCGTGTCGCCCGGTGTGTTTGTTGCCAGGGGTGATGCCTGGTGTGTTTGTCACCTGGTGTGTTACATGGTGTGTTGCCTGGGGTGATGCCTGGTGTGTTTGTTGCCTGGGGTGATGCCGGGTGTGTTTGTCGCCTGGTGTGCGTGTCGCCCGGTGTGTTTGTTGCCAGGGGTGATGCCTGGTGTGTTTGTCGCCTGGTGTGATACATGGTGTGTTGTCTGGGGTGATGCCTGGGGTGCGTATCGCCTGGTGTGCGTATCGCCTGGTGTGCGTGATGCCTGGTGTGTGTGTCGCCTGGGGTGATGCCTGGTGTGCGTGTTGCCTGGGGTGATGCCTGGTGTGTTTGTCGCCTGGTGTGCGTGTCGCCTGGTGTGTTTGTTGCCAGGGGTGATGCCTGGTGTGTTTGTCGCCTGGTGTGTTACATGGTGTGTTGCCAGGGGTGATGCCTGGTGTGTTTGTCGCCTGGTGTGTTACATGGTGTGTTGCCAGGGGTGTTGCCTGGGGTGATGCCTGGTGTGTTTGTCGCCTGGTGTGCGTGTCGCCCGGTGTGTTTGTTGCCAGGGGTGATGCCTGGTGTGTTTGTCGCCTGGTGTGTTACATGGTGTGTTGCCTGGGGTGATGCCTGGTGTGCGTGTTGCCTGGTGTGTTTGTTGCCTGGGGTGATGCCTGGTGTGCGTGTTGCCTGGTGTGTTTGTTGCCTGGGGTGATGCCTGGTGTGTTACATGGTGTGTTGCCTGGGGTGATGCCTGGTGTGTTTGTTGCCTGGTGTGTTTGTTACCTGGGGTGATGCCTGGTGTGCGTGTCGCCCGGTGTGTTTGTTGCCAGGGGTGATGCCTGGTGTGTTTGTCACCTGGTGTGTTACATGGTGTGTTGCCTGGGGTGATGCCTGGTGTGTTTGTTGCCTCGGGTGATGCCGGGTGTGTTTGTCGCCTGGTGTGCGTGTCGCCCGGTGTGTTTGTTGCCAGGGGTGATGCCTGGTGTGTTTGTCGCCTGGTGTGATACATGGTGTGTTGTCTGGGGTGATGCCTGGGGTGCGTATCGCCTGGTGTGCGTGATGGCTGGTGTGCGTGTCGCCTGGTGTGTTACATGGTGTGTTGCCTGGGGTGATGCCTGGTGTGTTTGTCGCCTGGTGTGATGCCTGGTGTGTTTGTCGCCTGGTGTGATGCCTGGTGTGTTTGTCGCCTGGTGTGATGACTGGTATATTTGTCGCCTGGTGTGCGTGTCGCCTGGTGTGATGCCTGGTGTGATGCCTGGTGTGCGTGTCGCCTGGGGTGATGCCTGGTGTGTTTGTCGCCTGGTGTGATGCCTGGTGTGCGTGTCGCCTGGGGTGATGCCTGGTGTGTTTGTCGCCTGGTGTGATGCCTGGTGTGCGTGTCGCCTGGGGTGATGCCTGGTGTGTTTGTCGCCTGGTGTGCTGCCTGGTGTGTTTGTCGCCTGGTGTGCGTGTCGCCTGGTGTGATGCCTGGTGTGATGCCTGGTGTGTTTGTCGCCTGGTGTGATGCCTGGTGTGTTTGTCGCCTGGTGTGCGTGTCGCCTGGTGTGATGCCTGGTGTGTTTGTCGCCTGGTGTGATGCCTGGTGTGTTTGTCGCCTGGTGTGCGTGTCGCCTGGTGTGTTTGTCGCCTGGTGTGCGTGTCGCCTGGTGTGCGTGTCGCCTGGGGTGATGCCTGGTGTGTTTGTCGCCTGGTGTGAAGCCTGGTGTGTTTGTCGCCTGGGGTGATGCCTGGTGTGTTTGTCGCCTGGTGTGATGCCTGATGTGTTTGTCGCCTGGTGTGCGTGTCGCCTGGTGTGTTTGTCGCCTGGTGTGCGTGTCGCCTGGTGTGCGTGTCGCCTGGGGTGATGCCTGGTGTGCGTGTCGCCTGGTGTGTTAGTTACCTGATGTGCTACTTGGTTTGTCTGCGGCGGGTCTGAGGTCAGAGGTGGAGTCTGGCAGGTCAGTACTGGGCGTCCTCTTGGCGCTGCTGTCAGGTCTGGGTCGAGGCCGATGGGGTTCAGACCCGCGACACAGCAGCTGCAAGCAGGATTTAGTCAGGGCCTTCTTGACCCGGAGCAGTGCACTAAGCGTGTTCAGACTGCTGACAAAGGGGGGCAGGTAGGGAAGAGTCACGTCCACTCCAGGTAGCCCCACCCCTCCCCGACCACTCAGCCAATCACGCACCTCCGCCGGGGATTCCAAGAACATCAGGGCAGGGTCGAACTCCAGCGCCTCCCTCCTGAGACGAGGAGGCGCCACTGGGTCCACACCGGGCTTGGTTCGCATGGAGGAGAGAATGGCGGAGACGGTTTTTGGAGGTGGTTTTAGGGTTGAGGCTGGGGGGAGGGGCTTGGAAGGACAAGTGGGTGGGGCAGGAAGAGGTTGTGGCTGATTCAGTCCTGGCAAGATTATGGGGGCGGGCCCAGCGGCAGATTGTACAGGGGGCGTGGCTTGATGACAAGTTAAAATGTTCCCGTGCTGAGCTGGAAGGGGAGTGCTTGGTACGAACGCCAGCCGCAGGCCTTGGGGCAGACCTTCTGCCAGCTGGACCAGCCCACCAGGAGTCATGACCCACATGGACTGACCGGGAAGCAAACAAAACCCGGGGAGTACCGGCGGATTCTGGACAACCACTTCCTGTTTACTGCGAGACAGACGGGAGCGCTTCTTACAAGGAGAAGAAGAAGAAGTTCTTTTCATCTTGGCTTCAGCCTGGAGACAAAAAACAAAGGAAGAGACAGAATGAGAGGAGACAGAGAGACGGGAGGAGACAGACAGAGACGAGGAGACAGAGGGAAGGAGACAGACAGAGAGGATGAGACAGAGGGGAGGTGACAGACAGAGAGGATGAGACAGAGGGAAGGAGAGAGACAGAGAGGATGAGACAGAGGGAAGGAGAGAGACAGAGAGGATGAGACAGAGGGAAGGAGACAGAGAGAGGATGAGACAGAGGGATGGAGACAGAGGGAAGGAGACCGAGGCGAGGTGACAGACAGAGAGGATGAGACAGAGGGGAGGAGACAGACAGAGAGGAGGAGACAGAGGGAAGGAGAGAGACAGAGGGGAGGAGACAGACAGAGAGGAGGAGACAGACAGAGAGGAGGAGACAGACAGACGGGAGGAGACAGAGGGAAGGAGAGAGACAGAGAGGAGGAGACAGACAGGCGGGAGGAGGCAGAGGGAAGGAGAGAGACAGAGAGGAGGAGACAGACAGGCGGGAGGAGACAAACCAACACATTCGCATCTCAATGCGTCATAACTGACGCTTTCAGACAGGCCTATGTGTGCAGCTGTAGGGTTTGCCGGTCGACATGCACACATTCGGTGACTTAGGTTTAAGGTACTAACATTTCTGATGCTTGTGCGTCTCACGCTTTGTCACCATTTCTCAAATCGTCTGTATATGACGCCCTGAGATGAGAACGGGCTGGACAAACAGAGGGGAGGACATCTCACCTTCTCCTGAACCGCCTCCTGAACAGCTCTGGCTCGCTGACTCGGCTTCCGAACCCTCTTTCCTTCCTGGATCACACCTGTACCTTTCCCGCCGTCACCTGTTCCGCCCACGCCGTCACCTGTCCCGCCCACGCCGTCACCTGTACCTTTGCCGCCATCACCTGTACCTTTCCCGCCATCACCTGTCCCGCCCACGCCGTCACCTGTCCTGCCCACACATTGGTTTTCCTGACTGCTTGTCACACTCTGCTGCTCCTCCACCCTCGCTCGTTTCCTCCCTTTGGGCGGGGCTTTAGGAGGCTTTTTGGGGGTGGAGTCAGATTTACGGCGCCGGGGTTTTCGGCGTTTGGGGGCAGGCCTTTGTTTAACTGAGGTTGAGCCATGGTGACTGTTGGTGGGGTAGCAAGAAATGGTGTAGTTATGATCGCTGTGGAGAGGAGCAGGGTGGCCTGAAGTGGAGGAAGCAGAGGGCTGATTGGTGGGTTTGGAGGGGGGCGGGGCTAAACTAAAGTTTTGAGTTGAAGACACCGTCCTATCAGAGCGGGCGGGTGTGGCGTTCAGTCTGAGAGCAGCAGCAGGAGGTGTAGTGTCTCCTATTAAAAGAGGAGCATGAGAAGGTGTGTCAGTTCTGGTCAGAGGAGAGGAGTCGACCCCAGCAGGAGGAGGTCTTTGAGGAGGCGTGGGGGACATGGTCGCAGAGGTGGGAGGAGTCTGAGGCACCAGCTGGATCAGAGCGGTGCAGGCGGTGTTCTGGATCTGAGCTCTGCCGGCTTCAGCCTGAAAGGAGCAGAAACCAAAGTCAGACCAGGTTCATCATCAGAGTCCGGGCTTCACTTCAGAGGACCAGTAGAACCAGCTTCTGTACTAGTTTCTGTAGTTGACATGGTCAAAAGTGCCTTACGGGCCCCCAGGGGCCCCCGACAGGTCAACAGAGCCAAACTAAGATCAGCACTGTGATAGTTAAAGCTATGATTAATTAACCCCATGACAACAGACATTTAGAAAAACTCAATAAAAACATCTGGACAAAGAACAACTACCAGCTGTGGAAGCGAGGATGTTCAGGACAGGTGAGCTGGTTTGATGCCAATATATTCAGGAAGGAAAAAGCTGGCACTGTGCTTAATTATTTGTCCTAACTTTTCTTTACAAATTCTCAGGTGTGAAATGTTTAAGGGTTGGGTAGTGTTGTTTATCCATACTGGCAGTGGTTTGAGATTTCTGTGTTGAAAAACAAAACAGTTAATGGACTGTATTGCGCCTTTAAGACGGTCCCTTACCCCGCCTACAGTAACAGGAGCGTTGGGCAGACTTTCACTAAACTAAATTCAACTGGTTTCCAAACACAATGGTAGAGCTACCGCTGCACTTGTTGCTATCTTCCACGTGTTGTATCCCCGTTACCTTCCGTACAGGGATACCGAGTACCGTCATGTGTTCAGAATTTTGGCATTGACTTGGTACTTGGTACCTTACGCCGCAGCTCAGTACCCTGTGCCATAGCCCCGTACCTAGCACAGTAGCCCTCTACCCTGTAGCCCCGTACCCAGCGCAGTAGCCCTCTACCCAGTAGCCCTGCAAACTGAGCCATAGCCCCGTACCTAGCACAGTAGCCCTCTACCCTGTAGCCCCGTACCCTGTGCAGTAGCCCTATACCCAGTAGCCCTGCAAACTGAGCCATAGCCCCGTACCTAGCGCAGTAGCCCTCTACCCCCGTACCTTACGCAGTAGCCCTCTACCCCCGTACCTTACGCAGTATCTCTGTACCCTGTAGCCCCGTACCTAGCACAGTAGCCCTCTACCCTGTACCCCCGTACCCAGCGCAGTAGCTCTGTACCCTGTAGCCCCGTACCCTGCGCAGTAGCCCCGTACCTAGCGCAGTAGCTCTGTACCCTGCGCCGTAGCACCATACCTAGCGCAGTAGCTCTATACCCTGCGCCGTAGCCCCGTACCCTGCGCCGTAGCCCCGTACCCTGCGCAGTAGCCCTGTACCCTGTAGCCCCAGTACCGAGCGCGGTAGCTCTATACCCTGCGCCGTAGCCCCGTACCCTGCGCAGTAGCCCTGTACCCTGTAGCCCCAGTACCGAGCGCGGTAGCTCTATACCCTGCGCCGTAGCCCCGTGCCCTGTGCAGTAGCCCTGTACCCTGTAGCCCCAGTACCGAGCGCGGTAGCTCTATACCCTGCGCCGTAGCCCCGTACCCTGTGCAGTAGCCCTGTACCCTGTAGCCCCAGTACCGAGCGCGGTAGCTCTATACCCTGCGCCGTAGCCCCGTGCCCTGCGCAGTAGCCCTGTACCCTGTAGCCCCAGTACCGAGCGCGGTAGCTCTATACCCTGCGCCGTAGCCCCGTACCCTGCGCAGTAGCCCTGTACCCTGTAGCCCCAGTACCGAGCGCGGTAGCTCTATACCCTGCGCCGTAGCCCCGTACCCTGCGCAGTAGCCCTGTACCCTGTAGCCCCAGTACCGAGCGCGGTAGCTCTATACCCTGCGCAGTAGCCCTGTACCCTGTAGCCCCAGTACCGAGCGCGGTAGCCCTGTACCCTGTAGCCCCAGTACCGAGCGCGGTAGCTCTATACCCTGCGCCATAGCCCCATACCCTGCGCAGTAGCCCTGTACCCTGTAGCCCCAGTACCGAGCGCGGTAGTTCTGTACCCTGCGCTGTAGCGCCCTACCCTGTGCCGGGCACCTCCCAAAGATGTAAATACATGTTGCGCTGACACGGACCACAAGTTTTTTTGAGCCTCACAATCACAGTTTGATCCTTTCAGTAAGTACCATTTGTAAAGTCTAGAAGAGCCGCACGCAGGCTGCAAAATTAAGTTTTTGTTCACCAGCCAATGGCTAGTGAATGCTGTGTACCAGCCACTCAATGGATTGTTTTTAGTAGTTAATCTAGCAGCCAAAGTACCACATGTTCTGAGCGCAGTTGATGGTTACCTTCCCTCTGGCTCGGACCACTCATTCAGGACTTCTATGTCATATATTCTCAGCCCCTTCACTGCATTACTTGGTGACGCCTCCCAAACATCTCAAACCCTTCAGAATAACAGCTCTGGCCAGGGTTCACATTACTGAGCGGAACCAAGGTTAGGCTAACCCTGACCCACAGACTCATCCCACCTCGTCTCCTCTTTACAGCACCTCCAACGCTGACTTCTCTCCCCCTAATGTTTGACTGACATCAGAAGAATAATCACAAGATTTTTCTCATTTAATTTTTCCCTTCTTCATCTGTTTTTTTACTTTAACAAACCAGACCTGGTTTGTCGTTATTCTTTATGTTTAAGCGTAGAAATAAAATTTTTTTTTTTTTTACACGAATCATCTCACAACATGAATTCCTAAAAAGACAGTTAACCTTGGACTCAGTGACTTCCTGCAGAGTCAGACTCGTCTTCAGAATCCGCCTTCCTTCCTCGATCCCTTCCCCTTTCCTGTCCACACCATTAACTGCCCTGTTCAAAAGCTCCCCACTCTGACCGCTGCTGGCCTCTGGGTCTTCCGCCACCTGTTGCCCCCTCCCTTCGAGAGGTTTGGGGATGGAGGTAGATGGACTGGGGGCAGGATGAGGCTGGCCGGGGCAAGTGATGGGGCCGCTGGCGTTGGAGGGAGTCAGAAGGAGCTGACTGGCAGGTGTAGATCCAATAGGAACGTGGTGATTCAGGGAACCAGGCAGGGTGACTATGAGGTTTTGAGGTCCAGCTGGTTGGGGGGAAGAGGCAGAGCAGGCAGATGTGGTGTTCAGGGGCACTGGGACAACAGAGACAGGAGGAAGTCTATGAGGAGCAGGAAGTGCAGGGAACGGACAAGTGACAACCCCAGCAGGAGGTGTGTGCAGTCCCGGAGGGGGTGCTGTTAGGAAACGGGGAGGCATGAGCTGGATGGAGGCACCACGAGGTTGAGTGACAGGGTGAGGAATGAAGACAGCCTGAGGAGACGACATAGGAGACATCCCAGGATGCATGTTAGGAAGCATCTGAGGAAGAATGCCGAGAGGAGGAGGCAGCGATGGGAGGCGAGGAGGCGGTTGCTGCAGCAGCAGGAGTTGCTGTAGACGTTGTTGCTGTTGTTGCCTGTTGTGTTTGTCTTGTTGCTGCAGCGCCTGAAGCTGGTTCAGGATCAGCTCCATGTCTAACTGCAGCGGACCGTCTCTGGCCTCCCTCTGCTGCCGAGGTCGTGCGATGTTCCTGGGGTTATTCGTGGCAGGGTCCGGAGGAGGTGTCACTGAAGACCCCCTGCTCCTCCTCTGCTCTATCATCTCCTTACAGCCCACAACGTCCACTTTCATGGTCTGGAGGAGGAGCAGGAAGACGGCGGTTGAGGAGAGCTGGGTCTTCTCCTGTTGCTCCCTCAGAGCGTCGGCCACCGTCAATCTCGTCTTCGCTGGGATCAACAGGTTCCCGATCCACGGTGTCACGGCGGCCTGCAGCTCGTAGCGCAGCCCCACCTCCGTCGTTTGGCCCAGCTGCCTCCGTTTGACGGTCTGGACCTTACTTCGGGTGGAGCTCAGGTCGTTGAAGGTTTGCGCCTGGCGCTGCAGGTGCGCTCGGAGCTGGTCAGCTGACACCATCATCATGGTGCTGAGGCTGTGGTGCTTCCCCCCCGGCAGCTCTCTGGGTTCCGGTCCGATGATGACGGAGCGTCCGAACTGGCCCAGTACGGTGGAGCGGGCACGTTTCCCACCGGGGGCGTCTGCAGAGGAAGCCATCTCCACCGGTCGAAAGGTCAGGAAGCTGAAAGGTTCTGCTCTTTCTATTGGGATCCACTCCTGCATGAGGGGGAAGGTGTACTCCTCCTCCTTCTCCACCTCCTCAATCTTCTCCACCTCCACTACCTCCTTCTTCTTTTCATCATCACTGTCCATGTACTCCAACTCCATCTGCTCCTCCTCCTTCCGCTCCTCTTCCTCCTCCTCCTTCAGTTTCATCAGTCGGCGCTTGATGGTCCTCTTGGTCGGGAGGTTCTTCTTCTTCGTCCCTCTCCCCCGACTCTGTGGTGTTTTTTTACCTTTCTTACTTTTCTGTTGACGGAGAGAGACGAGCGTGAGCTGCAGGACCAACACAAGACAGACTTCAGACAGAACAGCTGAGTGTACCTGAGGTGGAGGAGTTCTGCAGATCTTGGACATTTTCCTCCACTCTCTGAGACACTGAGCGTCGTTACGGTGAGGAATCTCAGCAGCGATCCTCGCCCAGCGACCTGAAACACACACGCATTCATCATCACTGTATGAACACGTGAGACACACAGGAAGTGGGCGTGCTCCAGGAAGCAGTGGGCGGAGCTACAGCACATCAACAGAGCCGATCAGTGGCAAGGGACTAAAGGTTAAAGGTGGTCTAGAGGAAAGTGAGGAAAGTTTAACCCCCGATCCTGATACTGATTATCTGCTGCTACTGAGCCAGATCCATATATTTACCTGAATACCAGAGGTGCACAGTAACTAAGTACATTTACTCAAGTACTGTACTTACTAGTTCTCAGTACAAATTAGAAGTATTTGTATATTATGTATATAGATATTTTTACTTCACTACATTTACCTGACAGCTTCAGTTACTTCACAAAGTCAGATTTTTACACACAAACACATGAAGAGTTTATAAAAGTTATAAATGAAACAGCTGACAGGATCGTTAGACTGGAAACATTTTTCATGAAGCAGCTGCAGACATCATGTCAGAGACGCACCGACTCCGTGTTTCTCCACCAGCTGCAGCAGCTGCTCCCTCTCCTGTTTGTCGAACGGGCCTTTCTTTGTTTCCACCTTCAGAGTGTCTAAATACCTGCACACACACACAGGCGTTAGTCCACAGGGCGTCCACAGGTAAAGAGCAGAGAGCTGAATGTGGTCGGTCGGAGCGACAGACGCTCTGACACCATGTCAATTTTACTCTTAAGGAAACAGGTGACAGACCAGCGTCCAATCAGATCTCACCTGTCTCTGCAGGCGCTGTCGGTGCGACCAGGAACCTCCAACCGGATCCTCCACCAGTTCCCCTCTCCGTACAGAGACACCGCCCTCATCAGCAGCTGAGAGACAGACAGACAGGTAGGGTCAGTATCTGTGTTCTGCCAACGTAGGACGTCATTTATTCTGCAGGTGGTCGCTGTGCCCGCTTAAGCTCCGCCTCCGGCCTACCTCGTCCTCCTGCTTGGTCCACGGACCTTTCTTCAGGCTCGGGTCCAGCACCTGGCACCACCGGTAGATCACCTGGGCGGGGTCACGACCTTCCATGAAGTAACTTACTGAGAAAGAGACATGTGGAGAGAGCGTGGTGTCAGGGCGTGGTGTCAGAGCGTGGTGTCAGGGCGTGGTGTCAGGGCGTGGTGTCAGGGCGTGGTGTCAGGGCGTGGTGTCAGGGCGTGGTGTCAGGGCGTGGTGTCAGGGCGTGGTGTCAGGGCGTGGTGTCAGGGCGTGGTGTCAGAGCGTGGTGTCAGGGCGTGGTGTCAGGGCGTGGTGTCAGGGCGTGGTGTCAGGGCGTGGTGTCAGGGCGTGGTGTCAGGGCGTGGTGTCAGGGCGTGGTGTCAGGGCGTGGTGTCAGGAGACAGTTAGAGTGATGTCATTACTCTGCGTGTAGGGGATGAAGTTTCCGATCCTCATCTTGTCCACCAGCTCTCTGAGCAGAGCGTCTTCAGCCGGAGTCCAGCTGCTGTGTCTCAACGAGGCCGAGACGAAACGCTGGTACGTCTGAAGACACAGGAAGGCCGTCCTCCCCGTCTGGGAGACAGACAGGTGGAGAGAGAGACAGACAGGTGGAGAGAGAGCAACAGGTGGAGAGAGAGAGACAGGTGGAGACAGTTAGAGAGACAGACAGGTGGAGACAGAGAGACAGACAGGTGGAGACAGTTAGAGAGACAGACAGGTGGAGAGACAGACAGGTGGAGAGAGAGACAGACAGGTGGAGAGAGCGACAGACAGGTGGAGACAGTTAGAGAGACAGACAGGTGGAGAGAGACAAACAGGTGGAGACAGTTAGAGAGACAGACAGGTGGAGAGAGACAAACAGGTGGAGAGAGAGACAGGTGGAGAGAGCGACAGGTGGAGAGAGAGCGACAGACAGGTGGAGACAGTTAGAGAGACAGACAGGTGGAGAGAGACAAACAGGTGGAGACAGTTAGAGAGACAGACAGGTGGAGAGAGACAAACAGGTGGAGAGAGAGACAGGTGGAGAGAGCGACAGGTGGAGAGAGAGCGACAGGTGGAGACAGTTAGAGAGACAGACAGTTAGAGAGCGAGGGACAGGTGGAGAGAGAGACAGATGGAGAGAGAGACAGGTGGAGAGAGAGACAGGTGGAGAGAGACAGACAGGTGGAGACAGGTGGAGACAGTTAGAGAGCGAGGGACAGGTGGAGAGAGAGACAGACAGGTGGAGACAGGTGGGGACAGTTAGAGAGCGAGGGACAGGTGGAGAGAGAGACAGACAGGTGGAGAGAGACAGACAGGTGGAGACAGAGAGCAAGCGACAGGTGGAGAGAGACAGACAGGTGGAGAGAGACAGACAGGTAGAGAGAGACAGACAGGTAGAGACAGTTAGAGAGCGAGCGACAGGTGGAGAGAGAGACAGACAGGTGGAGAGAGAGACAGACAGGTGGAAAGAGACAGACAGGTAGAGAGAGTTACAGACAGGTGGAGACAGTTACAGAGCGAGTGACAGGTGGAGAGAGACAGACAAGTGGAGAGAGACAAACAGGTGGAGACAGTTACAGAGCGAGTGACAGATGGAGAGAGAGACAGGTGGAGAGAGTTACAGAGCGAGTGACAGATGGAGAGACAGACAAGTGGAGAGAGACAAACAGGTGGAGACAGTTACAGAGTGAGTGACAGATGGAGAGAGAGACAGGTGGAGAGAGACAGACAGGTGGAGAGAGACAAACAGGTGGAGACAGTTACAGAGCGAGTGACAGATGGAGAGAGAGACAGGTGGAAAGAGACAGGTGGAGAGAGACAGACAGGTGGAGACAGTTACAGAGCGAGTGACAGGTGGAGAGAGACAGACAAGTGGAGAGAGACAAACAGGTGGAGACAGTTACAGAGCGAGTGACAGATGGAGAGAGAGACAGGTGGAGAGAGACAGACAGGTGGAGAGAGACAAACAGGTGGAGACAGTTACAGAGCGAGTGACAGATGGAGAGAGAGGCAGGTGGAAAGAGACAGGTGGAGAGAGACAGACAGGTGGAGAGAGTTACAGAGCGAGTGACAGATGGAGAGAGAGACAGGTGGAGAGAGACAGACAGGTGGAGAGAGACAAACAGGTGGAGAGAGTTACAGAGCGAGTGACAGATGGAGAGAGAGACAGGTGGAGAGAGACAGACAGGTGGAGAGAGACAAACAGGTGGAGACAGTTACAGAGCGAGTGACAGATGGAGAGAGAGGCAGGTGGAGAGAGACAGGTGGAGAGAGACAAACAGGTGGAGAGAGTTACAGAGCGAGTGACAGATGGAGAGAGAGACAGGTGGAGAGAGACAGACAAGTGGAGAGAGACAAACAAGTGGAGAGAGACAAACAGGTGGAGACAGTTACAGAGCGAGTGACAGATGGAGAGAGAGAGATTAAGACAGGTGGGTGGATGAAGGAAGGAAAGCGGGGACATAGAGACACCTCCTCCTCCTCCTCCTCCTCACCCCCAGCTCTGCAGCGATGGTCTCCCAGTGTCTCTCTCCGTGTCTCATGCTGATCTCCTTCAGCTGCTGCACCTCCTCCTGACTCCACCGAGTCTTGTTGATGGACGGGTGGAGGAAGTTCTGCCAGAAACACCGGATGTCGTCCGCATCCCTCGTTGCTTCAAACTGAGGAGGAGATGAGGAGGAAGAGCAGGAAGAGGAGGAGAGAGGAGGAGGAAGAGCAGGAAGAGGAGGAGAGAGGAGGAGGAAGAGCAGGAAGAGAGGAGAGATGAGGAGGAAGAGCAGGAAGAGGAGGAGAGAGGAGGAGGAAGAGCAGGAAGAGGAGGAGAGAGGAGGAGGATCTCATCAGTGACAGTCTGACGCTTCTACACTCGACATGATGTGATTGGCTGATTTTTCGACTTACATCAATATTAGAGATTTTCTGCCAGTCATGTTCTTCATATCGATCACCAATAAGCTCCTCCTCCTTCTTCCCTCTGACCAATCAGAGACAGAGAAAGACTCACATTAAACGCAGCACACACGTTTGGATTCCGGTACCCGTGCGAACATTAAACAGCGTCCTGCTGTAACCTGACCCCTCCTCCTCCAATCAGGTGTTTCAGTCTGACCAGTGCCCGCCCACTGAGTTAAACAGGCTCCTATTGGTCAGCTGTCTCTGTGAGCTGCAGCAGTGCGACAGATGACAAGGAATCCTGGTTCTAACCTGAACCCTCAAACAGATCAACACAATCACACACACTCACCTGAGCAGGTCGATCTCTCTCTCCAGACTGTCTATCTGCTCTCTGAGCTGCTGCCTGTCTGTCTCCACTGCTGAGGACAGCTTCTGAGTCAGGTAGTCCACCCTGCAGGAGAGAGACAGACAGAGAGAGAGACAGACAGGTGGAGACAGTTAGAGAGCGAGCGACACACAAACACACACGCTTACTGTTTTGTTTATTTATTTTATCTTTATTTTTTAAACACACAAACGCTTACTGTTTTATTTATTTATTTAATATTTATTTATTTTTAAACACAAACACACATACATTTTGATTACTTTACGCTTTCATTGTTTAATGAAATGTTATGCTACTGCTACAGTTGCTACAGTTCCTGTTACTACAGTTTCTACAGTTCCTGTTGCTACAGTTTCTACAGTTCCTACAGTTTCTACAGTTCCTGCTGCTACAGTTCCTACAGTTTCTACAGTTCCTGCTGCTACAGTTCCTACAGTTTCTACAGTTCCTGCTGCTACAGTTCCTACAGTTTCTACAGTTCCTGCTGCTACAGTTCCTACAGTTTCTACAGTTCATGTTGCTACAGTTGCTACAGTTCCTGCTGCTACAGTTCCTACAGTTGCTACAGTTCCTGTTGCTACAGTTCCTACAGTTTCTACAGTTCCTGTTGCTACAGTTTCTACAGTTGCTACAGTTCCTGCTGCTACAGTTCCTACAGTTGCTACAGTTCCTGTTGCTACAGTTCCTACAGTTCCTGTTGCTACAGTTTCTACAGTTCCTACAGTTTCTACAGTTCATGTTGCTACAGTTGCTACAGTTCCTGCTGCTACAGTTCCTACAGTTGCTACAGTTCCTACAGTTTCTACAGTTCCTGTTGCTACAGTTTCTACAGTTCCTACAGGTTCTACAGTTCCTGCTGCTACAGTTCCTACAGTTTCTACAGTTCATGTTGCTACAGTTGCTACAGTTCCTGCTGCTACAGTTCCTACAGTTTCTACAGTTTCTACAGTTCCTGCTGCTACAGTTCCTACAGTTCCTACAGTTTCTACAGTTCCTGCTGCTACAGTTCCTACAGTTCCTGCTGCTACAGTTCCTACAGTTCCTACAGTTCCTGCTGCTACAGTTCCTACAGTTCCTGTTGCTACAGTTTCTACAGTTCCTGCTGCTACAGTTCCTACAGTTCCTACAGTTCCTACAGTTCCTGCTGCTACAGTTCCTACAGTTTCTACAGTTCCTGTTGCTACAGTTTCTACAGTTCCTACAGTTTCTACAGTTCCTACAGTTCCTGCTGCTACAGTTCCTACAGTTTCTACAGTTCATGTTGCTACAGTTCCTACAGTTCATGTTGCTACAGTTCCTACAGTTTCTACAGTTCATGTTGCTACAGTTTCTACAGTTCCTACAGTTCATGTTGCTACAGTTTCTACAGTTCCTACGGTTCCTACAGTTCCTGCTGCTACAGTTCCTACAGTTCCTGTTGCTACAGTTTCTACAGTTCCTACAGTTTCTACAGTTCCTGTTGCTACAGTTTCTACAGTTCCTACAGTTTCTACAGTTCCTGTTGCTACAGTTTCTACAGTTCCTACAGTTTGTACAGTTCCTGCTGCTACAGTTCCTACAGTTTCTACAGTTCATGTTGCTACAGTTGCTACAGTTCCTGCTGCTACAGTTCCTACAGTTTCTACAGTTCCTGTTGCTACAGTTCCTACAGTTTCTACAGTTCATACAGTTTCTACAGTTCCTGCTGCTACAGTTCCTACAGTTCCTACAGTTTCTACAGTTCCTGCTGCTACAGTTCCTACAGTTCATGTTGCGACAGTTTCTACAGTTCCTACAGTTCCTGCTGCTACAGTTCCTACAGTTTCTACAGTTCCTGTTGCTACAGTTCCTACAGTTCCTGTTGCTACAGTTCCTACAGTTCCTGCTGCTACAGTTTCTACAGTTCCTACAGTTTCTACAGTTCCTGTTGCTACAGTTTCTACAGTTCCTACAGTTTCTACAGTTCCTGTTGCTACAGTTTCTACAGTTCCTACAGTTTGTACAGTTCCTGCTGCTACAGTTCCTACAGTTTCTACAGTTCATGTTGCTACAGTTGCTACAGTTCCTGCTGCTACAGTTCCTACAGTTTCTACAGTTCCTGTTGCTACAGTTCCTACAGTTTCTACAGTTCATACAGTTTCTACAGTTCCTGCTGCTACAGTTCCTACAGTTTCTACAGTTCATACAGTTTCTACAGTTCCTGCTGCTACAGTTCCTACAGTTCCTACAGTTCCTGCTGCTACAGTTCCTACAGTTTCTACAGTTCCTGCTGCTACAGTTCCTACAGTTCATGTTGCTACAGTTCCTGCTGCTACAGTTCCTACAGTTTCTACAGTTCCTGCTGCTACAGTTCCTACAGTTTCTACAGTTCCTGTTGCTACAGTTGCTACAGTTCCTGCTGCTACAGTTCCTACAGTTTCTACAGTTCCTGTTGCTACAGTTTCTACAGTTCCTACAGTTTCTACAGTTCCTACAGTTCCTGCTGCTACAGTTCCTACAGTTCCTGCTGCTACAGTTCCTACAGTTCCTGCTGCTACAGTTCCTACAGTTCCTGCTGCTACAGTTACTACAGTTTCTACAGTTCCTGTTGCTACAGTTACTACAGTTTCTACAGTTCCTGTTGCTACAGTTCCTACAGTTCCTGTTTCTACAGTTCCTACAGTTCCTGCTGCTACAGTTCCTACAGTTCCTGCTGCTACAGTTCCTACAGTTGCTACAGTTCCTGTTGCTACAGTTCCTACAGTTCCTGTTGCTACAGTTCCTGCTGCTACAGTTTCTACAGTTCCTGTTGCTACAGTTCCTACAGTTATTGTTGCTACAGTTCCTACAGTTTCTACAGTTCATGTTGCTACAGTTGCTACAGTTCCTGCTGCTACAGTTCCTACAGTTTCTACAGTTCCTGTTGCTACAGTTCCTACAGTTCCTACAGTTTCTACAGTTCCTGTTGCTACAGTTCCTACAGTTCCTGTTGCTACAGTTTCTACAGTTCCTACAGTTGCTACAGTTCCTGCTGCTACAGTTCCTACAGTTTCTACAGTTCCTGCTGCTACAGTTCCTACAGTTCCTGCTGCTACAGTTCCTACAGTTTCTACAGTTCCTGTTGCTACAGTTTCTACAGTTCCTGCTGCTACAGTTCCTACAGTTCCTGCTGCTACAGTTCCTACAGTTCCTACAGTTTCTACAGTTCCTGCTGCTACAGTTCCTACAGTTTCTACAGTTCCTGCTGCTACAGTTCCTACAGTTCCTACAGTTCCTGCTGCTACAGTTCCTACAGTTTCTACAGTTCATGTTGCTACAGTTCCTACAGTTCCTGTTGCTACAGTTCCTACAGTTCCTGCTGCTACAGTTCCTACAGTTTCTACAGTTCCTGTTGCTACAGTTCCTACAGTTCCTGCTGCTACAGTTCCTACAGTTCCTGCTGCTACAGTTCCTACAGTTCCTGCTGCTACAGTTCCTACAGTTCCTGCTGCTACAGTTCCTGCTGCTACAGTTCCTGCTGCTACAGTTCCTCCTGTTCCTACAGTTCCTGCTGCTACAGTTCCTACAGTTTCTACAGTTCCTGTTGCTACAGTTCCTGTTGCTACAGTTCCTACAGTTTCTACAGTTCCTGTTGCTACAGTTCCTGTTGCTACAGTTCCTACAGTTTCTACAGTTCCTGTTGCTACAGTTCCTGTTGCTACAGTTCCTACAGTTTCTACAGTTCCTGTTGCTACAGTTCCTACAGTTCCTGTTTCTACAGTTCCTACAGTTCCTGTTGCTACAGTTCCTGCTGCTACAGTTCCTACAGTTCCTGCTGCTACAGTTCCTACAGTTCCTGCTGCTACAGTTCCTACAGTTCCTGCTGCTACAGTTCCTACAGTTCCTGTTGCTTCAGTTCCTACAGTTCCTGTTGCTACAGTTCCTGCTGCTACAGTTTCTACAGTTCCTGTTGCTACAGTTCCTACAGTTATTGTTGCTACAGTTCCTACAGTTTCTACAGTTCATGTTGCTACAGTTTCTACAGTTCATGTTGCTACAGTTTCTACAGTTCATGTTGCTACAGTTTCTACAGTTCATGTTGCTACAGTTTCTACAGTTCCTACAATTCATGTTGCTACAGTTCCTACAGTTCCTGTTGCTACAGTTCCTACAGTTCCTGTTGCTACAGTTCCTGCTGCTACAGTTTCTACAGTTCCTGTTGCTACAGTTCCTACAGTTCCTGTTGCTACAGTTCCTACAGTTCCTACAGTTCCTGCTGCTACAGTTCCTACTGCTACAGTTCCTACTGCTACAGTTCCTGTTGCTACAGTTCCTACAGTTCCTGCTGCTACAGTTTCTACAGTTCCTGCTGCTACAGTTTCTACAGTTCCTACAGTTCCTGTTGCTACAGTTTCTACAGTTCCTGTTGCTACAGTTCCTGCTGCTACAGTTTCTACAGTTCCTGTTGCTACAGTTCCTGCTGCTACAGTTTCTACAGTTCCTGCTGCTACAGTTTCTACAGTTCCTGCTGCTACAGTTTCTACAGTTCCTACAGTTCCTGTTGCTACAGTTCCTGCTGCTACAGTTTCTACAGTTCCTGTTGCTACAGTTCCTGCTGCTACAGTTCCTGTTCCTACAGTTCCTACAGTTCCTGTTGCTACAATTCCTGTTGCTACAGTTCCTGTTGCTACAGTTTCTACAGTTCCTGCTGCTACAGTTCCTGCTGCTACAGTTCCTGCTGCTACAGTTCCTACAGTTCCTGTTGCTACAATTCCTGTTGCTACAGTTCCTGCTGCTACAGTTCCTGCTGCTACAGTTCCTGTTGCTACAATTCCTGTTGCTACAGTTCCTGTTGCTACAGTTCCTGTTGCTACAATTCCTGTTGCTACAGTTCCTGTTGCTACAGTTTCTACAGTTCCTGTTGCTACAGTTCCTGCTGCTACAGTTCCTGTTCCTACAGTTCCTGTTGCTACAATTCCTGTTGCTACAGTTCCTGTTGCTACAGTTTCTACAGTTCCTGCTGCTACAGTTCCTGCTGCTACAGTTTCTACAGTTCCTGCTGCTACAATTCCTGCTGCTACAGTTCCTGCTGCTACAGTTCCTGTTGCTACAGTTCCTACTGCTACAGTTCCTGTTGCTACAGTTCCTGCTGCTACAGTTTCTACAGTTCCTGTTGCTACAGTTTCTACAGTTCCTGTTGCTACAGTTCCTGTTGCTACAGTTCCTACAGTTCCTGTTGCTACAGTTCCTGTTGCTACAGTTCCTGTTGCTACAGTTCCTGTTGCTACAGTTCCTACTGCCACAGTTCCTGTTGCTACAGTTCCTACTGCTACAGTTCCTACTGCTACAGTTCCTACTGCTACAGTTCCTACTGCTACAGTTCCTGTTGCTACAGTTCCTACTGCTACAGTTCCTGTTGCTACAGTTCCTACTGCTACAGTTCCTACTACTAATAAACAGAACTTACTTGGAGAGTTTGGGCTGGATCAGTTTCCTCAGACTGTCTCTGGCTACTGAGTGGATCAACAGAGTCTTCTGCCAGCTTTCCCCTGATTAAGACAGACATACAGAGGACATACATAGAACCACAATGACAGAGATGTTACTGAAGGTAAGTTAAATGAGAAGGAGTATATGTGTACAAACATATTTACTGGTGTTATTAATAATAAATATTATTATATTAATATTTGTCTGAGTGAAATCATCATCATCATCAGCCTGCGTCAGCTCATAACAGATTAGATACGAACTTTAAAGTCCCTTCACACTGTAAATAAATAAAAGAACACATAACTGTCTCTGTGGTTTTTATGAACTTCCTCTCTGAATGGTCAGTGAACTGTTTAATTTTTCATTCTTACATCGTTTCAGTTTAAGCTTATTGTTGTCCAGACAGCCCGCCATCCTATTGGCCTTCTCCTTTGTCTCCTGATTGGCTGGAGGACCCTGAAGACAGACAAACACAGAGTCTTATTGTTCAGGTGTCAACAGACAGACACAGCGTGCCTCTCTGTCCGTGTGTCTTACCAGGCCTGTCAGTTTGTCCTTGAAGTACGGTTTGAGGAAGCGTCCCAGGAACATGTTAAACGGCTGCTGGCAGGAGGACGGAGGGCAACGTTCCCTGGGTGACTCTTTGACTGGTCCGGACAGCTGAGACACCACCTCCTTCTACAGAGACAAAGCATTTATTATGAGTAATGAACTGTCTCTGGTTGTGTGTCAGTACTGACCTCCTATCTCTGGTTATATGTCAGTACGGACCTACTGTCTGTCTCTGGTTGTGTGTCAGTACTGACCTGCTGTCTGTCTCTGGTTATATGTCAGTACTGACCTGCTGTCTGTCTCTGGTTGTGTGTCAGTACTGACCTCCTATCTCTGGTTATATGTCAGTACTGACCTGCTGTCTGTCTCTGGTTGTGTGTCAGTACTGACCTCCTATCTCTGGTTATATGTCAGTACTGACCTCCTGTCTGTGGTTATATGTCAGTACTGACCTCCTGTCTGTGGTTGTGTGTCAGTACTGACCTCCTGTCTGTGGTTGTGTGTCAGTACTGACCTGCCGTTTCCTGTTGTGTGTCAGTACTGACCTGCTGTCTGTCTGTGGTTGTGTGTCAGAGACCTGTCGTTTCTGGTTGTGTATCAGTAGAGACCTGCTGTCTGTCTGTGGTTGTGTGTCAGTACTGACCTGCTGTTTCTGGTTGTGTGTCAGTACTGACCTGCTGTCTGTCTGTGGTTGTGTGTCAGAGACCTGTCGTTTCTGGTTGTGTGTCAGTAGAGACCTGCTGTCTGTCTCTGGTTGTGTGTCAGTACTGACCTGCTGTCTGGGGTTATATGTCAGTACTGACCTCCTGTCTGTGGTTATATGTCAGTACTGACCTCCTGTCTGTGGTTGTGTGTCAGTACTGACCTCCTGTCTGTGGTTGTGTGTCAGTACTGACCTGCCGTTTCTGGTTGTGTGTCAGTAGAGACCTGCTGTCTGTCTCTGGTTGTGTGTCAGTACTGACCTGCCGTCTGTGGTTGTGTGTCAGTACTGACCTGCTGTCTGTCTGTGGTTGTGTGTCAGAGACCTGTCGTTTCTGGTTGTGTATCAGTAGAGACCTGCTGTCTGTCTGTGGCTGTGTGTCAGAGACCTGTCGTTTCTGGTTGTGTATCAGTAGAGACCTGCTGTCTGTCTCTGGTTGTGTGTCAGTACTGACCTCCTATCTCTGGTTATATGTCAGTACTGACCTCCTGTCTGTGGTTGTGTGTCAGTACTGACCTCCTGTCTGTGGTTGTGTGTCAGTACTGACCTGCCGTTTCTGGTTGTGTGTCAGTACTGACCTGCTGTCTGTCTGTGGTTGTGTGTCAGTACTGACCTGCTGTCTGTCTGTGGTTGTGTGTCAGAGACCTGTCGTTTCTGGTTGTGTATCAGTAGAGACCTGCTGTCTGTCTGTGGTTGTGTGTCAGTACTGACCTGCCGTTTCTGGTTGTGTGTCAGTACTGACCTGCTGTTTCTGGTTGTGTGTCAGTACTGACCTGCTGTCTGTCTGTGGTTGTGTGTCAGAGACCTGTCGTTTCTGGTTGTGTATCAGTAGAGACCTGCTGTCTGTCTGTGGTTGTGTGTCAGAGACCTGTCGTTTCTGGTTGTGTATCAGTAGAGACCTGCTGTCTGTCTGTGGTTGTGTGTCAGTACTGACCTGCTGTTTCTGGTTGTGTGTCAGTACTGACCTGCTGTCTGTCTGTGGTTGTGTGTCAGAGACCTGTCGTTTCTGGTTGTGTATCAGTAGAGACCTGCTGTCTGTCTGTGGTTGTATGTCAGTACTGACCTGCTGTCTGGGGTTATATGTCAGTACTGACCTCCTGTCTGTGGTTATATGTCAGTACTGACCTCCTGTCTGTGGTTGTGTGTCAGTACTGACCTCCTGTCTGTGGTTGTGTGTCAGTACTGACCTGCCGTTTCTGGTTGTGTGTCAGTAGAGACCTGCTGTCTGTCTCTGGTTGTGTGTCAGTACTGACCTGCCGTCTGTGGTTGTGTGTCAGTACTGACCTGCTGTCTGTCTGTGGTTGTGTGTCAGAGACCTGTCGTTTCTGGTTGTGTATCAGTAGAGACCTGCTGTCTGTCTGTGGCTGTGTGTCAGAGACCTGTCGTTTCTGGTTGTGTATCAGTAGAGACCTGCTGTCTGTCTCTGGTTGTGTGTCAGTACTGACCTCCTATCTCTGGTTATATGTCAGTACTGACCTCCTGTCTGTGGTTGTGTGTCAGTACTGACCTCCTGTCTGTGGTTGTGTGTCAGTACTGACCTGCCGTTTCTGGTTGTGTGTCAGTACTGACCTGCTGTCTGTCTGTGGTTGTGTGTCAGTACTGACCTGCTGTCTGTCTGTGGTTGTGTGTCAGAGACCTGTCGTTTCTGGTTGTGTATCAGTAGAGACCTGCTGTCTGTCTGTGGTTGTGTGTCAGTACTGACCTGCCGTTTCTGGTTGTGTGTCAGTACTGACCTGCTGTTTCTGGTTGTGTGTCAGTACTGACCTGCTGTCTGTCTGTGGTTGTGTGTCAGAGACCTGTCGTTTCTGGTTGTGTATCAGTAGAGACCTGCTGTCTGTCTGTGGTTGTGTGTCAGTACTGACCTGCTGTCTCTGGTTGTGTGTCAGTACTGACCTATCTCTGGTTGTGTGTCAGTACTGACCTCCTATCTCTGGTTATATGTCAGTACTGACCTGCTGTCTGTCTCTGGTTATATGTCAGTACTGACCTGCTGTCTGTCTCTGGTTGTGTGTCAGTACTGACCTCCTATCTCTGGTTATATGTCAGTACTGACCTGCTGTCTGTGGTTGTGTGTCAGTACTGACCTCCTGTCTGTGGTTATATGTCAGTACTGACCTCCTGTCTGTGGTTGTGTGTCAGTACTGACCTCCTGTCTGTGGTTGTGTGTCAGTACTGACCTGCTGTTTCTGGTTGTGTGTCAGTACTGACCTGCTGTCTGTCTGTGGCTGTGTGTCAGAGACCTGTCGTTTCTGGTTGTGTGTCAGTAGAGACCTGCTGTCTGTCTCTGGTTGTGTGTCAGTACTGACCTCCTATCTCTGGTTATATGTCAGTACTGACCTCCTGTCTGTGGTTGTGTGTCAGTACTGACCTCCTGTCTGTGGTTGTGTGTCAGTACTGACCTGCCGTTTCTGGTTGTGTGTCAGTACTGACCTGCTGTCTGTCTGTGGTTGTGTGTCAGTACTGACCTGCTGTCTGTCTGTGGCTGTGTGTCAGAGACCTGTCGTTTCTGGTTGTGTGTCAGTAGAGACCTGCTGTCTGTCTCTGGTTGTGTGTCAGTACTGACCTGCTGTTTCTGGTTGTGTGTCAGTACTGACCTGCTGTTTCTGGTTGTGAGTCAGTACTGACCTGCTGTTTCTGGTTGTGTGTCAGTACTGACCTGCTGTTTCTGGTTGTGTGCCAGTACTGACCTGCTGTTTCTGGTTGTGAGTCAGTACTGACCTGCTGTTTCTGGTTGTGTGTCAGTACTGACCTGCTGTTTCTGGTTGTGTGTCAGTACTGACCTGCTGTTTCTGGTTATGTGCCAGTACTGACCTGCTGTTTCTGGTTGTGAGTCAGTACTGACCTGCTGTTTCTGGTTGTGTGTCAGTACTGACCTGCTGTTTCTGGTTGTGTGCCAGTACTGACCTGCTGTTTCTGGTTGTGAGTCAGTACTAACCTGCTGTTTCTGGTTGTGTGTCAGTACTAACCTGCTGTCTCTGGTTGTGTGTCAGTACTGACCTGCTGTCTCTGGTTGTGTGTCAGTACTGACCTGCTGTCTCTGGTTGTGTGTCAGTACTGACCTCCTATCTCTGGTTGTGTGTCAGTACTGACCTCCTATCTCTGGTTATATGTCAGTACTGACCTGCTGTCTGTCTCTGGTTGTGTGTCAGTACTGACCTCCTATCTCTGGTTATATGTCAGTACTGACCTGCTGTCTGTGGTTATATGTCAGTACTGACCTCCTGTCTGTGGTTGTGTGTCAGTACTGACCTGCCGTTTCTGGTTGTGTGTCAGTACTGACCTGCCGTTTCTGGTTGTGTGTCAGTACTGACCTGCCGTTTCTGGTTGTGTGTCAGTACTGACCTGCCGTTTCTGGTTGTGTGTCAGTACTGACCTGCTGTCTGTCTGTGGTTGTGTGTCAGAGACCTGTCGTTTCTAGTTGTGTATCAGTAGAGACCTGCTGTCTGTCTCTGGTTGTGTGTCAGTACTGACCTATCTCTGGTTGTGTGTCAGTACTGACCTCCTATCTCTGGTTATATGTCAGTACTGACCTGCTGTCTGTCTCTGGTTATATGTCAGTACTGACCTGCTGTCTGTCTCTGGTTGTGTGTCAGTACTGACCTCCTATCTCTGGTTATATGTCAGTACTGACCTGCTGTCTGGGGTTATATGTCAGTACTGACCTCCTGTCTGTGGTTATATGTCAGTACTGACCTCCTGTCTGTGGTTGTGTGTCAGTACTGACCTCCTGTCTGTGGTTGTGTGTCAGTACTGACCTGCTGTTTCTGGTTGTGTGTCAGTACTGACCTGCTGTCTGTCTGTGGCTGTGTGTCAGAGACCTGTCGTTTCTGGTTGTGTATCAGTAGAGACCTGCTGTCTGTCTCTGGTTATATGTCAGTACTGACCTCCTGTCTGTGGTTGTGTGTCAGTACTGACCTCCTGTCTGTGGTTGTGTGTCAGTACTGACCTGCCGTTTCTGGTTGTGTGTCAGTACTGACCTGCTGTCTGTCTGTGGTTGTGTGTCAGTACTGACCTGCTGTCTGTCTGTGGTTGTGTGTCAGAGACCTGTCGTTTCTGGTTGTGTATCAGTAGAGACCTGCTGTCTGTCTGTGGTTGTGTGTCAGTACTGACCTGCTGTTTCTGGTTGTGTGTCAGTACTGACCTGCTGTTTCTGGTTGTGAGTCAGTACTGACCTGCTGTTTCTGGTTGTGTGTCAGTACTGACCTGCTGTTTCTGGTTGTGTGCCAGTACTGACCTGCTGTTTCTGGTTGTGAGTCAGTACTGACCTGCTGTTTCTGGTTGTGTGTCAGTACTGACCTGCTGTTTCTGGTTGTGTGTCAGTACTGACCTGCTGTTTCTGGTTGTGTGCCAGTACTGACCTGCTGTTTCTGGTTGTGAGTCAGTACTAACCTGCTGTTTCTGGTTGTGTGTCAGTACTGACCTGCTGTTTCTGGTTGTGTGCCAGTACTGACCTGCTGTTTCTGGTTGTGAGTCAGTACTAACCTGCTGTTTCTGGTTGTGTGTCAGTACTAACCTGCTGTCTCTGGTTGTGTGTCAGTACTGACCTGCTGTCTCTGGTTGTGTGTCAGTACTGACCTCCTATCTCTGGTTGTGTGTCAGTACTGACCTATCTCTGGTTATATGTCAGTACTGACCTGCTGTCTGTCTCTGGTTGTGTGTCAGTACTGACCTCCTATCTCTGGTTATATGTCAGTACTGACCTGCTGTCTGTGGTTATATGTCAGTACTGACCTCCTGTCTGTGGTTGTGTGTCAGTACTGACCTGCCGTTTCTGGTTGTGTGTCAGTACTGACCTGCCGTTTCTGGTTGTGTGTCAGTACTGACCTGCCGTTTCTGGTTGTGTGTCAGTACTGACCTGCCGTTTCTGGTTGTGTGTCAGTACTGACCTGCTGTCTGTCTGTGGTTGTGTGTCAGAGACCTGTCGTTTCTGGTTGTGTATCAGTAGAGACCTGCTGTCTGTCTGTGGTTGTGTGTCAGTACTGACCTGCCGTTTCTGGTTGTGTGTCAGTACTGACCTGCTGTTTCTGGTTGTGTGTCAGTACTGACCTGCTGTCTGTCTGTGGTTGTGTGTCAGAGACCTGTCGTTTCTGGTTGTGTATCAGTAGAGACCTGCTGTCTGTCTGTGGTTGTGTGTCAGTACTGACCTGCTGTCTCTGGTTGTGTGTCAGTACTGACCTCCTATCTCTGGTTATATGTCAGTACTGACCTGCTGTCTGTCTCTGGTTATATGTCAGTACTGACCTGCTGTCTGTCTCTGGTTGTGTGTCAGTACTGACCTCCTATCTCTGGTTATATGTCAGTACTGACCTGCTGTCTGGGGTTATATGTCAGTACTGACCTCCTGTCTGTGGTTATATGTCAGTACTGACCTCCTGTCTGTGGTTGTGTGTCAGTACTGACCTCCTGTCTGTGGTTGTGTGTCAGTACTGACCTGTCGTTTCTGGTTGTGTGTCAGTAGAGACCTGCTGTCTGTCTGTGGTTGTGTGTCAGTACTGACCTGCCGTTTCTGGTTGTGTGTCAGTACTGACCTGCTGTCTGTGGTTGTGTGTCAGTATTGACCTGCTGTCTGTCTGTGGTTGTGTGTCAGAGACCTGTCGTTTCTGGTTGTGTGTCAGTAGAGACCTGCTGTCTGTCTCTGGTTGTGTGTCAGTACTGACCTCCTATCTCTGGTTATATGTCAGTACTGACCTGCTGTTTCTGGTTGTGTGTCAGTACTGACCTGCTGTCTGTGGTTGTGTGTCAGTACTGACCTGCTGTTTCTGGTTGTGTGTCAGTACTGACCTGCTGTCTGTCTGTGGTTGTGTGTCAGTACTGACCTGCTGTCTGTCTGTGGTTGTGTGTCAGAGACCTGTCGTTTCTGGTTGTGTGTCAGTACTGACCTGCTGTCTGTCTGTGGTTGTGTGTCAGTACTGACCTGCTGTTTCTGGTTGTGAGTCAGTACTGACCTGCTGTTTCTGGTTGTGTGTCAGCAGTGTCTCCAGCTGGTCCAGGGTCTCTTGAACCACCTGCTGATAGACCAGGTTCATCTGAAGACATGAGCCCACTGACAGCGACAGACCCAGCTCACTCTGAACACACAGACGGACACAGTTAGTGAAACACAGATTGGTCTGTAACTGATGAAAATGTTAAGCTGCTGCTGATACTGACCTCGTCACTGCTGCTGGCATCATCATCGTCATCTACACAGACAATATCAGACATTAACACACCGTCTGTTAACAATCAATAACAGACAGAAAGTCAGAGGGACCGACAGGCAGACAGACAGGTACCTGACGCGTAGATTGGACTGTGTGGTCCCAGGACGTTCTCCAGGTTCTGGATCTCCTTCTGGATCTTCTCTCTCTGAGCCAATAGACCGGCTGCAGACTCACACTGCAGGAGGGAATTCTGTTCAGACTGATCAATAGAACGATCAACGCGTTACAATCATCTTAGAGCTGTTATCAGTCAGCTGATCAGTGTGTGCAAAACGACTACAAGAAGCAAGACTGTTTATGTGAAAACATTTCACTAATTTATCCTGATCAGGTCAACACACACAGACAGAACCAAAAACAGAAGTACAGACAGAACCACAGACTGAACCAAAAACAGAAGTACAGACACAAACACAGACTGAACCAAAAACAGAAGTACAGACACAAACACAGACAGAACCACAGACTAAACCAAAAACAGAAGTACAGACAGAACCAAAAACAGAAGTACAGACACAGACAGAACCACAGACTAAACCAAAAACAGAAGTACAGACACAAACACAGACTGAACCAAAAACAGAAGTACAGACAGAACCAAAAACAGAAGTACAGACACAGACAGAACCACAGACTAAACCAAAAGCAGAAGTACAGACAGAACCACAGACTAAACCAAAAACAGAAGTACAGACACAAACACAGACAGAACCACAGACTAAACCAAAAACAGAAGTACAGACAGAACCACAGACTGAACCAAAAACAGAAGTACAGACACAAACACAGACAGAACCACAGACTAAACCAAAAACAGAAGTACAGACACAAACACAGACTGAACCAAAAACAGAAGTACAGACACAAACACAGACAGAACCACAGACTAAACCAAAAACAGAAGTACAGACACAAACACAGACTGAACCAAAAACAGAAGTACAGACACAAACACAGACAGAACCACAGACTAAACCAAAAACAGAAGTACAGACACAAACACAGACTGAACCAAAAACAGAAGTACAGACACAAACACAGACACTTTGGAGTTCAGACTGCAGTCTGTTGCTGTGGTAACTGATGCACGTGTATTACCTGCTCCTCCTCCTCCTCGTCCTCGTCATCTGATTCATCACCTGATCAAAGAGACACAACACCGCTGTTCAATTTTTTCAGTTCAATTCAATTTTATTTATATAGCAGTTATCTCACAGCGCTTTTCATAAAAGAGCAGGTCTAGACCGAACTCTGTGATGATATTTACAGAAGCTCAACAGTTCCCACCAAGAGCAGCACTAGGAGACAGAGGCAAGGAAAAACTTCCTTTAAGAGGCAGAAACCTCGAGCAGAACCATGACTCAGGGTGGGCGGCCATCTGCCTCGACCGGTTGGGGTGAAGGGGGGGGGGAGAGAGAGAGAGAGAGAGAGAGAGAGAGAGAGAGAGAGAGAGAGAGAGAGAGAGAGAGAGAGAGAGAGAGAGAGAGAAAGAAAGAAAGAAAGAAAGAAAGAAAAAGAAAGAAAGAAAGAAAGAAAGAAAGAAAGAAAGAAGGGAGGGAGGCAGCCTACACAATATCCACACAGAGGTACAGACAGTAAAGGTAATGTTGCTATAGACTAAATGAAAAATGGTACAGATATTTATAATAGTGTTAATGGTAACCATCGTAATGTTAATGATTATAAAAACAATAATAACAATAAGACTAGCAACAATAGTCGTTGCAGCAGAGGGTGTCGAGCAGGAACACGGGGGCAGCAGGTGACCCGCAGCCACAGATCCAGACTCCACAGCTCCAGAGCCAGAAAACCTGCAGGAAGTGATAGGAGGAGAGAGGAGAGAGACGAGAAAGCACAAGACTACCAGAAAGGGGAGAAGTTGTGTTAGTAACATGCAATAATGGGATGAGGTTGCATACAGAGGGAGAGAAAGTAGAGGAGAGAGGAGCTCAGTGCATCATGGGAAATCCCCCGGCAGTCTAGGCCTATAGCAGCATAACTAAGGGATGGTTCAGGACTCACCTGAGCCAGCCCTAACTATAAGCTTTATCAAAGAGGAAAGTCTTAAGCCTACTCTTAAATGTGGAGATGGTGTCTGCCTCCTGAACCCAAACTGGAACCTGGTTCCACAGGAGAGGAGCTTGATAGCTGAACGCTCTGGCTCCTAGTCTACTTTTGGAGACTCTAGGAACCACAAGTAACCCTGCATTCTGGGAGCGCAGTGCTCTGGTAGGGTAGTAAGGTACTATGAGCTCTTTAAGATAAGATGGTGCCTGACCATTGAGAGCTTTGTAGGTAAGAAGAATGATTTTAAATTCTATTCTGGATTTTACTGGAAGCCAATGCAAAGAAGCTAAAACAGGAGAAATATGATCTCTTTTCCTGGTTCCTGTCAGAACACGTGCTGCAGCATTCTGGATCAGCTGAAGAGTCTTAACGGACTTTTTCGAGCAGCCTGATAATAAGGAATTGCAGTAATCCAGCCTAGAAGTAACAAATGCATGGACTAGTTTTTCTGCATCATTTTTAGACAGGATGTTCCTGATTTTCGCAATATTACGTAGGTGAAAAAAGGCGGTCCTTGAAATTTGCTTAATGTGAGACTTAAAAGCCATGTCCTGATCAAAGATAACTCCAAGATTCCTCAGAGTGGTGCTGGAGGCCAGGGCGATGCCATCCAGGGAAACTATATCTTTAGATAATGCGTCACGGAGGTGCTTAGGCCCCAGAGCAATAACTTCAGTTTTATCTGAGTTTAACATGAGAAAATTACAGGTCATCCAGGTTTTAACATCCTGAAGGCACATTTGAAGTTTAGCTAACTGATGAGTTTCATCTGGTTTGATCGATAGATATAACTGAGTATCATCTGCATAACAATGAAAGATTATGGAATGTTTCCTGATAATATTGCCTAAAGGAAGCATATATAAAGTGAAGAGGATTGGTCCAAGGACAGATCCTTGAGGAACTCCATGAGTAACTTTGGCGTGCATGGAGGACTCATCGTTAACATGTACAAACTGAAATCGATCTGATAAATAGGACTTAAACCAGCTTAGAATGGTTCCTTTAATGCCAATGAAATATTCCAGTCTCTGCAATAGGATCTGATGGTCAATGGTATCAAATGCAGCACTAAGATCTAATAAAACCAGTACAGAGACAAGTCCTTTGTCTGATGCAATAAGGAGGTCGTTAGTAATTTTCACCAGTGCTGTCTCTGTGCTATGATGAGCTCTAAATCCTGACTGAAAATCCTCAAATAAACTATTGCTCTGTAGAAAGTCACACAGCTGTTTAGCAACTGCTTTCTCCAGAACCTTAGAGAGAAATGGAAGGTTAGATATAGGTCTATATCTGTTAGAGACAGACAGACAGAAAGTCAGGAAGAGAGACAGACAGATAGATAGATAGATAGACAGGTGGAAAGACAGGTAGAGACAGACTGACAGATAGATAGAGAGACAGACAGACAGGCAGACAGGAAGAGAGACTGACAGAAAGACAGGTAGAGACAGACAGAGAGAGACAGATAGGTACCTGTCTCACTGCTCAGCAGCTCCAGTTCAGTGTGTGTTGCAGACAGACTCTGTTCCAGCTCTTCCACCTGTCTCTGGATCCTGTCTCTCTCTGCTGACAGAGACACAGACATGTCTGCAGACAGACACACAGACAGACAGGTCAGTGCTGTGAACCCTCAGAGAGCCTCTGCTGGGTCACGTGATCCTTCATCACTCTGTAGTTTATTCTGTCCCACACAAAGTAGTCCGTCTACAGGGTTTATTTACACCTGCTCCTTAAAGACTTCCTGAGAGAAACCAGGGTCAACTGAAGGCTACTATAAAAACTCACAGGTACACAGTACAGCACTCTGTAGTACTGCTGACACAGTACAGCACTCTGTAGTACTGCTGACAGTACAGCACTCTGTAGTACTGCTGACAGTACAGCACTCTGTAGTACTGCTGACAGTACAGCACTCTGTAGTACTGCTGACAGTACAGCACTCTGTAGTACTGCTGACAGTACAGCACTCTGTAGTACTGCTGACAGTACAGCACTCTGTAGTACTGCTGACAGTACAGTACTCTGTAGTACTGCTGACACAGTACAGCACTCTGTAGTACTGCTGACACAGTACAGCACTCTGTAGTACTGCTGACACAGTACAGTACTCTGTAGTACTGCTGACAGTAGTACTGCTGACAGTACAGTACTCTGTAGTACTGCTGACACAGTACAGTACTCTGTAGTACTGCTGACAGTACAGCACTCTGTAGTACTGCTGACACAGTACAGTACTCTGTAGTACTGCTGACAGTAGTACTGCTGACAGTACAGTACTCTGTAGTACTGCTGACACAGTACAGTACTCTGTAGTACTGCTGACAGTACAGTACTCTGTAGTACTGCTGACACAGTACAGTACTCTGTAGTACTGCTGACAGTACAGCACTCTGTAGTACTGCTGACAGTAGTACTGCTGACAGTACAGTACTCTGTAGTACTGCTGACAGTACAGTACTCTGTAGTACTGCTGACAGTAGTACTGCTGACAGTAGTACTGCTGACAGTACAGCACTCTGTAGTACTGCTGACAGTACAGCACTCTGTAGTACTGCTGACAGTACAGCACTCTGTAGTACTGCTGACAGTACAGCACTCTGTAGTACTGCTGACAGTACAGTACTCTGTAGTACTGCTGACACAGTACAGTACTCTGTAGTACTGCTGACAGTACAGCACTCTGTAGTACTGCTGACAGTAGTACTGCTGACAGAGTACAGTACTCTGTAGTACTGCTGACACAGTACAGTACTCTGTAGTACTGCTGACAGTAGTACTGCTGACAGTAGTACTGCTGACAGTACAGCACTCTGTAGTACTGCTGACACAGTACAGTACTCTGTAGTACTGCTGACAGTAGTACTCTGTAGTACTGCTGACACAGTACAGCACTCTGTAGTACTGCTGACAGTACAGTACTCTGTAGTACTGCTGACAGAGTACAGTACTCTGTAGTACTGCTGACAGTACAGCACTCTGTAGTACTGCTGACAGTACAGCACTCTGTAGTACTGCTGACAGTACAGTACTCTGTAGTACTGCAGACACAGTACAGTACTCTGTAGTACTGCTGACAGTAGTACTGCTGACACAGTACAGCACTCTGTAGTACTGCTGACAGTAGTACTGCTGACACAGTACAGTACTCTGTAGTACTGCTGACAGTACAGCACTCTGTAGTACTGCTGACAGTACAGTACTCTGTAGTACTGCTGACAGTACAGTACTCTGTAGTACTGCAGACACAGTACAGTACTCTGTAGTACTGCTGACAGTAGTACTGCTGACACAGTACAGTACTCTGTAGTACTGCTGACAGTAGTACTGCAGACACAGTACAGTACTCTGTAGTACTGCAGACACAGTACAGTACTCTGTAGTACTGCTGACAGTAGTACTGCTGACACAGTACAGCACTCTGTAGTACTGCTGACAGTACAGCACTCTGTAGTACTGCTGACACAGTACAGCACTCTGTAGTACTGCTGACAGTACAGCACTCTGTAGTACTGCTGACACAGTACAGCACTCTGTAGTACTGCTGACAGTAGTACTGCTGACAGTAGTACTGCTGACACAGTACAGTACTCTGTAGTACTGCTGACACAGTACAGCACTCTGTAGTACTGCTGACAGTAGTACTGCTGACACAGTAAAGCACTCTGTAGTACTGCTGACACAGTAAAGCACTCTGTAGTACTGCTGACAGTAAAGCACTCTGTAGTACTGCTGACAGTAAAGCACTCTGTAGTACTGCTGACAGTAGTACTCTGTAGTACTGCTGACAGTACAGTACTCTGTAGTACTGCTGACAGTACAGTACTCTGTAGTACTGCTGACAGTAAAGCACTCTGTAGTACTGCTGACAGTAGTACTCTGTAGTACTGCTGACACAGTACAGTACTCTGTAGTACTGCTGACAGTAAAGCACTCTGTAGTACTGCTGACAGTAGTACTCTGTAGTACTGCTGACACAGTACAGTACTCTGTAGTACTGCTGACAGTACAGCACTCTGTAGTACTGCTGACAGTACACAGTACTCTGTAGTACTGTAGTACTGCTGACAGTAGTACTCTGTAGTACTGCTGACAGTACAGCACTCTGTAGTACTGTAGTACTGCTGACAGTACAGTACTCTGTAGTACTGCTGACAGTACAGCACTCTGTAGTACTGTAGTACTGCTGACAGTAGTACTCTGTAGTACTGCAGTAACTGTAGTAGCAGTTCCTCAGTACTGCTGTGGCTGGATGATGCTAACACTAGCAGCTAACATTAGCATTAAGATTTCTGACCTGCAGCAGCTTCCGTCTCTTCGCTTTACTTCGCTTTACTGTGTCTTTACTTTCAGCCTGCACGCGCCGCGGAGCTCCAATCAACGTAGCTCTGTCGTTAACATATTTCCCAGCAGGCTGTGCGGCGGCGCAGTTTCCCCGGCTCATCAGCAACGTTCCCCCCGAGTTCCGGTTCAGACGAGTCCGACACGGACTGAACCGGGTTGTATTTTCTTCGCGTGAACAAACTGTGAGATTAAACTAACCAGCAGATAAACACCCGCAACAACCCGCAGCGCACACGGTCCGCTCCTTATTTCACTCCCCCCGGTCTCCCCCTTCCGGTCCTGCCGCTCTCTGATTCCGCCGGAACGTTTCTCCGTGCCGGGGT